CTGTCATGTGACTTATCTTCACCAAAGGGAGATAAGTACCTTCTGTATCTCTACAGCATATGTTACTTGAAAAGAGAGTAATAGCTTAATCAAGATGCTGATGTTATCCCCATGACTTCAAGCAAAAGGTTAGGCATGAAACCTTCATCAGTACTAGAAAGAGCAATAACAACTACTGGACTTGAGAAAACCTATTTTCCTGAAGAATTGTTTCAAGAGACATATTTTATAAATTTCAACTGACAACAATACTGGCTGCTTGGTCAATGCATGCCAAATGTTTCTTCCCTTCAGACAGCTTCTTCCCAAAAACTGCTGCTTTGTAGAACAGACTCCTGACAGAATTTTTTCACTATAATCTTGAAGTCTAGAGTTAACCATTATCTTCTCTGCATAACCCAATTCCATGCCTTGCATTATACAGGCACCTTCTACCTTGAGTGGCTTCTGTGCCTTGCATTGGGCAAACATTATAAAAAAAAAAACAAATGAAAAAGTTTAATATTACTCTTATCTTGCAGGGTTGAATCAATTTTATTTGAAAATTTTAGTAGCTTTGAAACCTGTTGAAATCATCAACACTGAGCTTTTTATTTTTTTTTGCTGTTCACAATATCTTCTCTAGATTTAATCATTTAGATTACTAATTTAGATCATTCCATTACTGACTTCATCCATGGCAGGTATGGCCTGATCTTTTATATATCAAGTCTTTCCAAGATATAGGTGATCATGGCTTTCCAAAATTTCCTGTCTTTTGATGCTTGAAATAATTTTATCTCCATTGTCATGCCACTTTTATAATTGAAAAGAAATGGTTAAAATGTCTGGAAAACATGAGGAAAATAGACTTGGAAAATTGACACACTCAGGATATATTGAAGGCAAGAGAAAATACAGTGATACCTTGACTTAAGTTGTTTTGAGTTTTGTCATTTTTTTTTTTTATTATATGGAAAAAGTAAAACTCACCTTGAGTCATTTTACTCAAGTTTACATTGGCCGGTAAAAATATTAGAAATGTCAAAACAGTAAACACATAAAATCATATGTACATAAATTTAAAAATAATATTGTGTGTGTATATATATATATATATATATATATATATATATATATATATGTGTGTGTGTCTCATACAATCATCAAAAACAAAGAGTGAGCATAATAAAGTTTGTTCAGCAGATGTTCTTATTTCAAATTCCTGCCAACAGGTGGCACTTGCACATTGTTTTTCCCTCAAACACTGATTTTGAATTCAAGCTTGTTTAAATCTGTGCTCTGCTGTTTACATTCTTTCAATTGTAATTTAAAATTACATTTTTGCCCATGGCTCTGAAGAAAAGTCCCTGTGCTCATGCTAAGCAGAAGCCTATACCACTGGAAGATAATGTGGAAATTATTTTATTCATAATACTATATATATATATATATATATATATATATATATATATATATATATATATATATATATATAATAACTGTATATTTATATAGGAAGCGAATATATATTATATATATATTTGCCTGGGGGATGTAACAGTAAAATATATATATTTTCTTTACTGATAGATCAAGCTTTTTTTTATCAACCATATTATATATATATATAATAGAGTAGAAATGTAACAATTCAAGTATCAACCATCATAAGACTGAAAAATAAAATAACAAAAGATTGTTTAGGTTGACGGACACGCATGTCTTGGTCTTTTTTTTTTTTTTTACGAAAAACAAAAACATTGTTTTCAATCGTTATGAGTCTACTGATTGAATAGAATTTTTCAATTTTATTATAAACCATTGTCCTGTAAATGGAATTTTTAAAGCATTCTGAATGTAAAAATAAAGAAAAAAGTGTGCAAGACAATAAGAAACACTACCTGCCAAAAAAAAAAGTGAAGTTTTGTTGAAATCGGTTGAAAAATGTAGGAAATCAGATCCTATATATAAAGGAACACATACACACACACAACCTGGGTTTTATAATAAGTTTAACTCGATTTGAGTTGTCCCCCTTTCAGTCTTGAAACAGCGATGCCTCTTAATCGTGTTTTCAAATTGATTTTGTGCAAAAACAATTGTTTTTCCAATTTTTGCCACTGTCAGAACCACCACAAGGTAATTTTACATAGTCCTGTGAAGTTTTGTTGAAATCGGTTGAAAAATGTAGGAAATCCGATCCAATATATAAACGTACATACACACACAACCTGGGTTTTATAATAAGTATATATATATATATATATATATATATATATACATACATACACTGGGGTGTGCTTATTTATAGCTTATAGTGTGGTTATTTTGACTTAAGTCCTTTTTCAACCTAAGTTGTGACATCTGGAACCAATTAACGATAGAGGGTGAAATGTGACTGTAGAGAGTAACCTACCTAATGAGCTTTTGTAAATGAATCTTCAAACGCAGAACTGGATGATTAGTAAAGACAAACCTTGCTAAGAGCTACAAAGGATAAGAAGTTGTGGAGAGCCTTGATTGTCCATGTCTTAATGGGACACAACACATAAACAGACCATCCCTCTTTGTTCTTGTTCTGCTATCCATAGGCCTCAACATTGCATCTAAGCTGGAGGATATTTTTTAATTTCATTTTAACACTGCTGCTGCTGTAGACATACATCTTTATGAAATTTACATTGCCTGCTGTTGACACACACACACACATATATATATATATATATATATAAGTTTTCTACACACCACAAAATATTGGTCCGTAGCATACAGTGTGTTTACACTGGTTTAGAAATAGCACTAAGCTCTTTTTAGTTTGTAACACAAATGATAGGGACTTGTATTTCATGGTGTCTAGAAAACGTGTGTGTATATATATATATATATATATATATATATATATATATATATAATCAACTATCTAGTGTAACAGTTTCTTCCTTTGCACTACTTGTCTGTGGAATTCTCTTACAAAATGATCTTCAAAAATTTAAATGGAAAGTCAATTCTCAGTAAATTGTTGCTTGCTGTGAAACCATTAAAAAGAATTAGAAACAATGTGAATCTGTGTCCTTTATTCTCTTAAAAAAAACAAAAAAATGAAAATTTCAATACTGTTTTTATTTGTTTTTTGTTTTAAACCAAGAGATTAGCTTCATTTGTCAAATATTTCTAGTATATCCTGTTTCTTTTGATCTCTCTATTAGGAATTTTCATGTATTTCACAGCTTTTCCTTCATTGTGCCTTGATATCGATCCAGAAATGTCTTTTTTTTTCTTCTCTCTCTCTTTCCTTTTTTTTCTTCTCTCTCTCTTTCCTTTTTTTTTCTTCTCTCTCTCTTTCTTTTTTTTTTTTTCTCTCTCTTTCTTTTTTTTTTTCTCTCTCTCTCTTTTTCCTTTTTCTCTCTCTTTTTTTTTTTCTCTCCTTTTTTCTCTCTCTCTTTTTTTCTTCTCTCTTTTTTTTCTCTCTCCTTTTTTTCTCTCTTTTTTCTCTCTCTTTTTCTCTTCTCTCTTTTTTTCTCTTCTCTCTCTTTTTTTCTCTTCTCTCTCTTTTCCTCTTCTCTCTTTCCTCTTCTTTCTCTCTTTCCTCTTCTCTCTCTTTCCTCTTTTTCTCTCTCTCTTTCCTCTTTTCTCTCTCTTTTCTCTCTTTCTTTTTCTTTTCTCTCTTTTCCTTTTCTCTTTCCTTTTTCCTTTTTTCTCTCTTTCCTTTTTTCCTTTTCTCTCTTTCCTTTTTCCTTTCTCTCCTTTTCCTTTTCCTTTTCTCTCTTTTCCTTTTCTCCTTTTCCTTTTCTCTCTTTTCTTTTTTTCTTTTCTCTTTTCCTTTTCCTTTCTTTCCTTTCTCTCTTTCCTTTTCTCTCTTTCCTTTTTCTCTCTTTCCTTTTTTCTCTCTTTCCTTTTCTCTCTTTCCTTTTCTCTCTTTCCCCTTTCTTTTCTCTTTTTTCTCCTTTCTCTCTTTCCTTTTCTCTCTTTCCTTTTTCTCTTTTTCCTTTTCTCTCTTTCCTTTTCTCTTTTTTTTTCCTTTTCTCTTTTCTCTTTTTTTTTCTCTCTTTTTTCTCTTTTCTCTTTTCCTTTTCTCTCTTTCCTTTTTCTCTTTCCTTTTCTTTCTTTTCTTCTTTTTTCTCTCTTTCTTTTCCTTTTCTCTCTTTCCTTTTTTCTCTTTCCTTTTTCTCTTTCTTTTTTCTCTCTTTCCTTTTCTCTCTTTCTTTTTCTCTCTTTCCTTTTCTCTCTCCTTTTTCCTTTTTCTCTCTTTCCTTTTTCTCTTTCCTCTTTTCTCTCTTTCCTTTTCTCTCTTTCCTTTTTCTCTTTCCTTTTCTCTCTTTTCTTTTCTCTCTTTCCCTTTCTCCTTTTCTCTCTTTCCTTTTCCTTTTCTCTCTTTCCTTTTCCTTTTCTCTCTTTCCTTTCCTTTTTCTCTTTCCTTCTCTTTCCTTTTCTCTTTCCTTTCCTTTTCTCTTTTCTCTCTTTTCCTTTTCTCTTTTCCTTTCCCTCTTTCTCTTTCTTTCCTTTCCTTTCTCTCTTTCTTTTCCTTTTTTCTCTTTTTCCTTTTCCTTTTCTCTTTTCTTTTCCTTTTCCTTTTCTCTCTTTCCTTTTCTCTTTTCCTTTTTTTCTCTTTCCTTTTCTCTTTCTTTCTCTTTCCTTTTCTCTTTTTTCCTTTTTTCCTTTTCTCTCTTTCCTTTTCCTTTTCTCTCTTTCCTTTTCCTTTTCTCTCTTTCCTTTTCCTTTTCTCTCTTTCCTTTTCCTTTTCTCTCTTTCCTTTTCCTTTTCTCTCTTTCCTTTTCCTTTTCTCTCTTTCCTTTTCCTTTTCTCTCTTTCCTTTTTTCCTTTTCTCTCTTTCCTTTTCCTTTTCTCTCTTTCCTTTTTTCTAATTTTAAAATACAAGCTCCATTGAAAAGATCTTTTGTAGAAAAAAGACTTTTGACTGAACATCTGAACATTTTTCTTTTTCTCCTTCCAGAGTTAGCATCAATCTTCAATCTGACTCTTCAGATGATGCTGTTATTGCTTTTCACCTGAACCCTCGAATGGACAACAACGAAGTCTGCTGCAATTCTTATGACGGTGGATGGGGAGATGAGCAAATCAATTCAGAATATTTTCCCTTCAATGAAGGACAGCGATTCACGTTACGTATTGTAGTTGAGGAAGAAGCTTATCGTGTAAGTATTTAATATAAAAAAAAATAATTAGTTGATGCCATAACTCGGATCTGCCTACAACTTTTCGTAAGGGCATTCCTCTCTTCATAATTAACCTCTTTGTATTTAAGATCACCATGGCATAGATTTTTACAAGATAAAGATATTTTATACTTTACCTTTTGCAAGATTATCACTACCAGAAATTATTTTTCTCTTGATGGAGCAATAAATTGCCAATTCGTTAAAACTGTACTATATAGCATATAAGACCTACTAATTTCTTTTTCTTCTAAAAATGGCACAAGGAATTTCTCCTAACAAAATTAACTGGGTAAACAGTGGTCTGCCATAATTTGGTACTTTCAAGTTTTACGTAAGTTTTGAAATTCTAGTCAAACCATATAATAATTATCAATGTGTATTTATATATTTCCTGCTCCATCTGTTGACAGAAGGGAGGTAAATCAACTTAAGTTAGTAAATTTGAGTGATTACTTCCCTTAGTCATTTTAACAATCTATACAAATAAAATATTTATCTGCATTTAGATAAAATTAGTTCCTGAGGAAAAATGAAGTACTAATCAGTTCTTTTACTCTTTTGTTTCTTAGATTGGCGTCTTATATGTTCAAGAGTTTCATGTGAAGCACTCCAATACCTTTGGATATTAAGTATTCATCTTGCTTCAAGTTGGTCATGAAATAGACTTTGTCGTTGCGGTCTTTGTCATACTGTTGCCAATCTTTTTCTTCTGAGAGATATTTCCATTTCACTGTTATATTAAACAAATTTTTAACATGAAAAGATATTAAGCAAAAACGATTTATATAAAACCAGGAATAATCAATGAATCATAGATACCACTGAACGTCTAAAAAGATATAAAGAGAATGGATTAATTAAAACGCTTCACTGGCCTCTATTTTAGTTGTGAATACTTTCTTTGCTTTATTGATTCTTGATACATTGTTTAAAGATGTTTCATTGTTTCTCATTATTAAAACTTTCTAACAATTGCTGTCATTTCTGATGGTAAGAGTACACTACATAGGTGGGAGGCCTGAAAGAAATTCTGAGAAGGGGTAGAATGAAAACTCTTAACTTTTATTTTATTTTTAAAATTTTTTTTTTTTTTTTAATTCTCATGAAGAATAAGGTATATGTAGGTGGTGTAATGGATAGTGGCTCAGAATAAGAAATTGGAGAGCAGTGTTCGAATTCCAGTTTGGTTCATTACATTCACTTATGCGCAGATATCATTGGATATGAATCCATCTCTTCTCGCCAAGCCAGCCACGGATTAAATAATAGAACATGTCTCTGGAAAAAAAATCATTGTTCTCGAAGAAATTCAATATTCACTTTCAAAAAAAAAAAATTAAACCACATTATTTCTATCTTTTGATATTTTTTTGTATCTGTCAGGTGTTTGTCAATGGATCCTTCTTCATGGAATTTTGTCATCGTGTTGACATTGAATCTGTCAAGTGGCTGAGGATCAGTGATGGCATTGAGCTACATGAAGTCATTATGCGGGATTTTGTGGTAAGTGAAAGATGACCCATTTAGATTTCAGTGTAACTAAGTATGTTGGCTAATTTTAATTTTTTTTATTCTGACTTGATGATTTTCCTTGAAGTGGGTTGGTATAAATTATCAGCCAAAATTAGTTATGTTATTCGTGCCTTTTTATGAAAGGCTCATATTTTTTAAATTTCTGAAACTTTAACTGGGCAATTTTAGGAAATTAAAGTAGATGAATCAAACAAATTGTCTGAAGGCTGAATATCTCGAACAAAAACATATCCCCCCCCTCTCTCTCTCCAAAACCATGAAATGTTAAAAGGGAACAAATGAATAATCATGATTTTTGGTCCCAAAAGGTAATAAAGAGCACAGAAAGCTTTTAAAAAGACCTATATAACTGATTCCACTTTTGGCCTGTCAATACCTCAGGAATGCAAAAGAGCTGAAATAGTTTGACTAACAGTCAGAATTTTCTAAATGTTTGGTGCCTGAATATCTTTGGAGCATTAAAAAGAAAATTGTATAACTGGGGGGTGGGGAATTACTCTTTATGTTGGGAAATCCATTCAAAAATATTTTTTTAGAACAAGAGGAGACGTGAATAAATGGTTATGTTAGAATAAATAGGAAAGAGCTTGGTATAAATAGAGGGGTCTGGAATAAGTGAATTATCTGAGGATAAAGTGTGAGGAAAATTATAGGGAAGGGTCTGAAACAACTGTAGGTATGTTTTGGAAGAAAAAAATCATAATTTAAATAGTCGTCAGGCCTGTCTAGTTTGGACGTGAAAGTAGTTGTATATTATAGTATGCTATTTTGTTTCATCTTTTCGTTTTTTTTCTGAAGTCTTTTTGTTTATGGAGATTCATTTGCTGAAGTATCGAGGGAGCTTCAAAGATATGAAATAAGCATAGTAGCACTATCTGAGCCAAGCTGTCTAACAGCTATGCTATTTTCTGGAATGGTAGAGGGGATGGGTGTAAAAGGAAATCTGGTGTGGCTTTTGCCATGAAAACTTTGCTTATTTTAAGCCTAGAAGAACTTCCATGTGGAGTTAGTGATTGGTTCCTGATGATGAGGCTCCCTTTGATCAAAGGTCATTTTTTTGGCTTTCGTGAGGACACATGGCACAGTGGATAAAGGCGTTAGTTAGATCCAATGACAGAACCTAAAGAGTGTGAGTTCAATACCAGGTTAAGGCAGTGGAGAACTTTCAGAGGGAAATTAAAAGGAGATAACTGATAACTAACATCTATTAGACATGGTATATGGAACTAGAACAGTCTACCCCAGTGTGCGAAATAAAGGGTTCAGTTCAACATTCCAACCACCTGAAGAAGGCTGGAGCATATAACGACCGAAACATAATAAATATGGCGACAAAGATGAGGACAATAGTCTGAATAATGTAAATAATGTACATAACACCTCATCTCAGAAATATAGACAGATACAGTAGTACCATGTTTTGTCAGAAGGGCAAATTCAAGAATACTTGGATGCATCCTGGCTTGAAACAATGGCATATGATTAATTATGTCTTGGTAAGGAAATGAAGGTATCAGTATTACTAAATGGCTGAATGTGGGTCATCTAAAGGATGAGATGGTGAAAGAGCTTGTAACTGTGAAGGAAGGCATTCATTGTGAAAACAAATGGGATGCTTTCAAGATGTCTGTTTATAAAGCCTGTGAAGTGTTAAGGCATTGTGAGTGTAAACATCAACACTAGTTTGATGAGAATGACACTGAGATTCAGCTCTTACTGGATGCTAAATCGAAAGCCTTAGATGCCATGCTTGAAAGGTGGACAAACATCTGATGAATGTGAAAGATTGATGACCGAGTTCAAAGCCATTAAAACTGATGTGCAGTGAAAACTACGTAACATGCAGTACTCTTGGTGGAGGAATAAGGCTGATGAAATACAGCTTTATTTGCTCTTTTCTGTCTTTTGCATTTGTGAGACTGGAGTTTGACTTTTTCACCACCCTTGTTGTTTTGGAAATACAGGGTGTGGCCCTAAAATCTGAACACAGGCAAAAATGCATATTTTTAAGAAATTAAATTTTCAAAAAAATGTATTATCAAATTGGAATATTAACAAATAATATCTTCAATATGATTTCCATCATTTGTGATGCAAAGGTTGATGCACTTTGCAAGATTCATGTGAACTCTATGCAATAGCTCCACATTGCTGTCAATTTTAGCACATTCACCATTTATGCATTCAATCAAGTGTGTTGCATCTGTGACTTTCATTGAGTACACCTTCTCTTTTAGCATACTCCAGAAAAATAAACCGGTTCTTTCTTTTGACAAAACTGTTTAATCTGTGGAGGTAAAAATAATATAGATAAAGAGGTTACCTATTTGTTCAGACTTTAGGGACAACCTGTATAAAAGATTTAAAACCATAACCATTTGACTTGTTAGCAATGTTCATGCTTGTCTAACAAGTTGACAGCCATCATGCATGGGTTCTGCATTCTTTCCTGGTTCCGAATCTTACTCTTTCTGTTGGATATGTATTCACTTCAGTAAATATCTGAAGGTTTTGCTGAATTTGTTTTAATAAATTTTCATTGATATAAAACAGTTTTTAATTTAAATGGGCATTTTATTTTTTTTCTTTCAGAAAGTTCCTTATGTTGGCACCATTGAAAATGGTATGGCATTTGGTAAGGCTATACAAATTAAAGGTGTCCCCACCTTTGATGATGAAAGGTGAGTACTATAAATTCATTTAATAAAATAAATTAATTCCACTGTCAGTTGATATTTGCTGAGGCTCTGTGCATATATGTTGTAGAGTGGTTTCACAGTGGAGGCTTGTATTTGTACTAAGTCAGTCCTAAAATAGGTTCAACGTACAACATGTTAGGAACTTGATATAATAGGTAATGACGCAGAGAAATCTAGTGGTGGTCACTGATACTTTTAGTATCCGACTAACGGTTGTCTAACATCGACTCACTGACCAACTGACTTGTTACTCTTACTACACCTACTTATTATAGGTGGGAGAGTCTATTAACTATAGAATAGGTGTGTTTCACTAGAACAGTATATACATTAAAATAAGATGTGATTTATAAAAAAATTTACACCAGATCTTCAAGAGCAAATTTTACTAGTTATGTATATTTTTTTTCTCCTTTTTAAGAAATCTCAAGACTTAAATATCTTGAAGGAGCTTTTTGATGTACACAACAGTTCAATTCAGTTTAATTTTAATAGCAAGTTTATATATATATATATATATATATATATAAAATCATACAATTGGAATTAAGATAATTCTTATTGTATGAAATAGTTTGCTCTGTTTAGAAAATAAACAATGAGTGCTTTTTGTTGAGTCAATTTTAACATTCAATGTTTAAAATTTCATTGTGTTAATAGGATTCACTTGGATTATATCAAGATTACTACCTACCTGTGTATGTGTGTGTGTGTGTATATATATATATATATATATATATATATATATATATATATAATAATACCATTCTATACAGATAATTCCAAAAGACATTAATCCAAAGAGATCTCAAAAGTAACAGAGCAAAATAATAATAATAATAATATAGTAAAATAATAATGATAATAATCATAATAACATAATAATAATAATAATATAAGAATAATAATATATGAATAAGAATAATAATATAATATTAATAAGAATAATATATATGAATATTAATAATATAATATAATAATATATGAATATTAATAATAATATAATAAGAATAATAAATCCTTAAAAATCCATATCAATTATAATTCATTTAGTGAATATATTTAAATATTCATTTCTTCAGACCAATGGTTTATTTCTTTGGTTTAAAAAGATGAATATTTATATTGCTGGAAAACGAAAGCATATTTTCTGTTGCATCTCTACATCTCTCTCTATACTTCTCTATATATCTTTATAGTACCATTCTATATCTTATTTTAATCATTTTTTTTTTTTTTTTTTTATTTTTAAAGATTTTAGGTTCATACAAATGATTTTGCTTTTATATATCTTGGCAATTAAATTTTATTTTCAGTTGTGTAAAATTTATAATACACACTTTGCTGTTTTTATTTTCTTTCAAGCATAAAAAGGATGTTTTTTTTTCTTGTAAGTCTTTTTGCATATAAAATCAACCAGTCAGTACCAAATTAATTTTCTTTTTAATTTAACTTTTGACTAATCTTTCACTTTCAGATCTTTTCCCCCACAAATTAAACCCACTCTTTATATTTTTTATTCAGTAAACTTCATATATATGTTGGATGTCAAAAGATTCTTTGTTTGTCAATGTTTCATTTTATCAGCTTTAAAAACCAAAAAAAAATAAAAAATAAAAAGATGAACCCTTCAAATAATTACCTGGAACCATCAGATAGCCTTCAGAAAAAGTCTACCTACAGTAGTGCCAAGTAATATTCAAGAGAGATGCTGCAGTTCATTTGCGAAATGAATTTAAACTTGGAATAAAAGCAGCCGATATTCTGAATTTGAAGGTGAAGTTTGTGAATGCATTGCTCAAATAGTTCAGGAGTCGTTTTGACTGGAAATGACTCTATTGAAGAGGCGCTTCATAAAGAACAGTATGGGATGACATTCTGATGTTTAAAAATAAAATACTTCAAATATGTCAAAGTTCATCACTGTTTGGAGAAACTATTCACAGTACTGGAAAAAGGCCTATGATGGAAATTTGTAATATGCAAGTTTGGTAAATAACAAAAAATGACCATTAATTTTTTTTCTTTGAGACCTTTTTTTATTTTTTCTATGATTTCAAAATAACTTTGTGGGTTAATTTTCCATCATTTTGTTAATAGGAAATTGTCTTTAAATCGGTTTCTATTTGAGATGCTTTGATGATTGATTTTACACAAACACTGAATTATCTCCCTTACATTTTTCTTGTCATTTTGATAACAGGCCTTTAATTCTATGCTTTGAATTTGAAAAGCCAGGCGTCAAAAATAAAATGTACTACATTTTGTTTCCGTTTTATTTCAGTTATCCTTCAGTTATTGTTCAAAAATCTTTTTAAAAAAATTAAAAACTAAAATTTTAATTCTAAATCCATAAAGAAAAATTCATGGATATAATTTCATTTAAAGAACAAATTCAGTCAGGTGAAAAAAAAAAAGTCCTTGTTTTGACCATTTTTCTTTCCATATACATTTCTTCATATATGATGATAATAATTCTTGGTTGCTATAATTTTGGTTTCTGAACTTCATATTGCAACATTTCTAGACTCTGAGTGTCATGTATAATTGCATGTCCTAGATCCACAAAATGTTTCTGCATTGCTCAAATGATTCAGGTCTCCAGAGTCATTTTGACAAAAAATGAATCTAATTGAAGAAGCACTTCATAAAGAACAGTAAAAGTTCTTTAGATTATGATATGAGGTTAAAAAAAAAATAAAAAGGGAGGAATTCGGTGTTTGCCATATGAGAAAGATGTTAATAGCCAATATTTTTTTTTTTTTTTTTACAGAAGGATAAATAATTTAACAAGTGAAAAATGTTTTGAAATGAAAAAAAAAAAAAAAAAAAAAAAAAGTAGTGATTTAACATAATTTGTTTAAATTATAGATGAAATATATATATGTAATAATTTGGAAAATTTGCTCTTTTCTCCAAAGGATATAATTTTCTTTTCGCCACCTTTTTTCAGCAATCCTAATATGGTCAGGTAAGATAATCTCCAGGATAAGTCAGTTATCTGGCCAGAACTTTGCTTTGCATGAAATGTAGATTTTTTTAAAAAAGTATCTACAGTTTTTGTTTCTCATTTCTTTTCTTATTAATAAAATTATTTATGCCTTTTGGACTGAATCAGTACAAAAGTCTGCTTTTAATTTTTTCATCAATTTCATTTTTAAGTCAAACTGTCCTTTACTTGACTGATTCACTGATTTAATGGTAGGAGACATTTGCTTTCTCTCTACAACTAACCAAGGAAGATAAGTGCATATAAAACTGGGGAATAATGCATTTAAATTATACTTCATCTATATTTCTTTCTTGATTTTACTAAGTTCTTCTCTGCTGATTCTTATGATTTTTCTCACATAATTTATCTGTAAATTAAAATTTTGCTGCTGTTCTTTATCTGATAAATTCATTAAAAAGCTATGAACTCATGACAGCAAAAAGAATGCTGTTTTTGATGTGCTTAAAATCAAGAGGTACTTACAAAATCTGTTGGCAAAGGTAGTTGCCACAATGCTGTTTATCTTGCAAAAATACTTTTTTGCTGAAGACATTTTTGCGAGAGTAACTTCTACAAATAATGGGAGTTGTTGAGGAAAAACTGGACAAATGTGTTCTATGGTTGCATCTTGACTAATGTTTATCCTATCTTACTTTTTCATGTTAGTAAGAAAGAGTCAATTTTATATATATATATGTGTGTGTGTGCTTGTTTTAAGGTATCTTATATTTATGGGTAAAAGTGCTCAATATCAGGGATAGAGCATATGTAAACACAGCGGCTTTCCTGCTTGAATGCAATCTTCAGGCTTGAAAACTGCATGAACCACCGTGTCAACTTATATAAAATAAATCTTGCTATTGCAATGATATAATTTGACATATCAAGGTGAATAGAATTTCAGCCAATAAATTGCTATATATTTGAATAATTTTTGAATCGAACATAAGGTTCAATACTTTTTGATACCAACTCATACTCTTGTAAATTATTTATTTTTTCATTTGTTACTCTTCAGGACTTTTGATAAGAATTCTTAAGAGTAATGGTTGAAAAATAATTATGAAACTCAATACATATTGCTAAATATTGAACATTATATTTAGTTCCATTATATAATCATATATGGGTGTATCATCAGTGGTAGTATCTTTACAGTGAAGCAATCAACCTTGCTTTATTCAGTTGAAGTGGGATGTCGAACTGTACTGATTGATGGTTCAACTCTCACATGTGTCTGTAAGAAGTCACATGGGCTCTGTGATGACCACACCTTGATCAATAGCATTGACCTGCTACATAAATTGTGTGAGGGTACTGACCCAACCGGTGAAGATGAACACCTCCACCTAACCCACCTGTGTCAAGCAGTTATTGGCCAGTCACCAGCCTGGGTGTGGGAGCTGGGTAACTTCCTAGGTCAACAGCTTTACCAGTGGGTGGAGGAACTTCTGAGAGGATGGATGGGGTAACCTCAACACCCCATGTGCAAGCCATTGCACTATTTTGCCTTGAATGTCACCATGAACCACAATTATGACAGAAATAGGAGGAGGAATGGTGACCACAATGGTGCGCCACTCTGGTCACCACTCCTCCTCCTACTTCCTTTTACAAAATGTGCTAACTGAATAAATGAATGGATATGATCACATCCCAGCAAATTTCTCACTCCTTATTTAGAACACTAGTTCTTTACAATAACTGAAGTTAACAACATGGAGCCTGGTCTGTACTTTAGTGATTTGCTACTTCAATAATTAAATGTGTTAAGTTTCTTATGGGAATATTTTTAGAACAAGGAATGATGGCAATGTAAAGATTACATGCACAAAAATAACTGACCAATTGATTTTCAAACAAAATTAACAAAAGTAAAGTTTAAAATGAGTGAGTTTTGTTAGAAGTAAATTGTATATGCAACAAAATATTCTTGAATATGTTCTCATGTGATTTACTGTGTGTATTTTAGTGTGAAGTGTTTCACAGCTCTCTTAGCTTCTGCATGGAAAGTTCATATCAACAGTTCAAAAAAGTTACTTTAGGGATCCTGTGGTTTTTATATTTGAGCTGTTACTGATACAGGATTTATTTACTTACAGCTGCTACTGCTACTAACAGTACAGTAATTAGATGTTGTTGGTTTTCACTGCCATTATAAGGGATTGATTGCTCCTAGCTGGGTCACCTGGCTGAGGGGATTTGATGTTTTAGAGACACAGTACCCCACAATGACACCAGTGATAAACCTCACCGAAGCTCTTAGGCACACTGTGAGGGTGTTTCAATTATACTATACAATCTTTTTGCATATATGATTAGCATGTTGCTTTCAGGTGTGAATTAAAGTTTATTTCTTAGTGGATGCATCTCTTCTGGTATGATGGCTTCTGAGATTCCTCCTCTCTTGTTTCAAAAAGGAAAGTTGTTGTCCAGAAATGTTGTAAACACACACAAACACACACACACACACACACACACACACACACAAAATTAAGTCTTCAGGTCTGGCTTCAATACTTTAGAATATTTTAAATGATCAATTTGGTATTTTTTTAAAAACTCTTCCCTAAAATCTGGATATGGTTGCCTTTATTTTTTTTGCATGAATATTTTTTAGGGAAAAGCACAAATTTAATCGTTTTGTTATTTAAAAAAAAAAAAAATGTTTTCCTTGTCATTTAATCTTACTGCAGTACATGCATGGGCTGCCTGGTGGCTGTAGTGGCAAATTTTTTTTTTTTTTTTTTTTTTTGTAATGAAGTTATGCCGATTGATGATGCAACCTGAATTCTCTTTTGAAGAACTATACTTTATTCTAAAAACCTGTTCAGTATCAGTGAGTGTGTATGTATGTTTTGGGAGACTTCTCTAAATATGAAGTCTCTTTTCATGAACGCCCAAAATAGTTTTTTGCTGCTGCTCCTGGGGGTCAGTGTTTGTATATTTATCTGTCCAGCATTCTCACGCCCACACTTACAATACTGGATGCAGATGTAAGATTGCATACTTCTAGATTTGATAGATCAGAGTGACCTCAAATCAAATCTCTGGTGTACCTGGCTTGCCTTTAATGACTGAAGACCTGGCTAGTTCTGTCACAATACTACATTTTGTTTCTTAAGTAGTGCTTTGTCCACCCTTAAATATCCTACCTAAATAAGTACTTGTGAAGAGGTATTTCAAAACTAAGTAATTTATTTATTTAGTTATTTATTTTTTTATTTTTAATCATTCCATCCTAAACCAAGCAATGTAGCTACTAAGATGCAAGAGGTTACAACAATAAAAGAACAGGAATTAAAAATTTCAAAATGATCCTCTTCAGGGATTCAGCTGATGTGTAAAGTTCTCCTTAATCTCGCCCATGTTTTGAAAGCTTAATTTTTTATTTTTGGAAAAAAACAAGTTGTGGGGAGCCAAATTTGCACTGTAAATATTTGGGGGTGAGATAAACTTGGCTGATGTGATTTATTTAATTTATTTTTTTTTCTGACCTACAACATGGCCAGAGATCTGAAGAACCTAATTGTTATGTCATTGGGAATATATTCTTGCTCAATAATACCGGACCCTAGCTATTTATTTAAAAAAAAAAAGAAGAAATTTGTATTTATTATAATAATGCTGAAGCTTGTGTAAACAGTAGTCGAAGATACTTGTGTGAACCAGATTGAAATTTATTTAGATTTTTTTATTTTCCCATTAAAGATGTAACGATGAAGAACAAGATGTAGAAACAATGTCTTCCTGCGTAATAAAATTAGTCATTTTCCGATTATAAAATTGAAAGTATTTTCCAGAATTTTTAAATCAAGGGAGACAACTCTTTCAGATAATGTTAATCTGAAATTGTGAAATTAAAGCAAATTTGTGCAACACACGCATACATGCACGCGTGCATGCACACATACTTACATACATGCATGCACACTCACATATCTACCTACCTACATACATACATACATACATATAGCTACATACATATTTACACACACACACACATATATATATATATATATATATATATATATATATATATAAATAAATATAAACATGTGTGCCTACATTTACATAGCTACTTACATATATACACACATACATAAACAAAAATTTAAGATATTTTATTGGGATTTCATTTATGTAATCTCTGAAATGACAACGGATTTGGAGGGTACACCAAAATAGGATGGGCAGTGTGGCAAGGACATTATTTTCACCTGTACAATGAGATTCTATGAATTAGGACCTGCCATGAGTCAATGGCTACCATAATTTCAGCAACATATACTAGGCAGATGATACTGTGTTAATGGCAAATGCAGAATGAAAACAAAACAATTAGACAAAGTGGTTGAAGAAATAAAAAAAAAGTATTTATTAGACTGCTTACTTACAAGAATAAACTTTTATTTACAAGATTGTTTCTTATTCAGATATTTTTATGAACTTAATAAGAATTCTTTTCATATTTATTTTTTTATAAAATAGTAAATAATAAATATTTCATTATAGTTGGTTTACATATTTTATAAAATTATTCTTCTAAATAAGTCATCTAATAAATCTAGTGTTTAACATCTTTGTTGTCAATTCTCAAGAATAAAGAAAATGTATAAATCTACTTTCAATTATTTGGGCTTTATTAAAATTCTAATTCACTGTTATATACCATACCGATGAACACTAATGGGTATGTCCGAATCCTCACAAATATGTTGGACACTATTGTAAGTGGGGAGGTAATCTGCTGTCTAAGTAGTCCACTACTAGCTAGTTTACCTACTTCACACCACGAGCGAGTATTGTATTTTGTTGATGTTATAAAGATTACTATTTCATTTTGAATCTCCATTTTTGGTTATTCCTCATTCAGTAACCTTTCGTAGGTTACAGCAATCACTTTTTTAAAACCATAAACAATGCTGAGGGAGTCAAAAGTGTATACAGTAATTGTAATGTCAAGGGAATAACTGTCCTTTTCACACTTTTTTTTTATGGGCACAAAGGTTAAGCATTCTCCACCGACCCCCAAAAAAAAAAAAAAAAATGAACTGTACCTTAATTGTAAGACAGTCTATATGGTGGTGAGCAAAATGTTGAGCCCAAGATCCAAGTTACATGGGAAATTTAATCTGAATAATGTAATGATAAAGGAAAGTGATACAAAAAATACAAAAGTGTCTATGAATAATGAAAGCTGCTTTTCAGGAAGTGAGTCATTCTGAAATGGAAACTTAACTGAAATAAAGTTCTAGATTACAGGGTGATGTCTAACCTGGCATTGAATGCTGAACCATTTTCTTATAAATGGGGAGAGGGGAATTTCAGAATACACTAGACCCTTTTTTTTTTTTTTTTTTTTTTTTTAACTTCAGGGTGTACTTGTAGAATAACTAAAACTCTGGGACACACTTTGAATTTTAATAAGGAAAAATTGCTCATGAAATTTGAAATTTAGCGTCCAGTTTAAAATATCAAATGACAAAGACTTGACTTAGACATGGAAGCGATCTTATAAAAGATACAAACTATTAAATATAAAAATAATTCATAAATTACTCTTCTATTAACTTGTGGCACACCTTGCTGCATTTCATGATGCATTGCTGTATTTGGCTGCACCGGTTGAGGAACACTGCTTTAGAAAGCGGTGTGTGAGGGTTAATTGTATTTATAAGATAGGGGCTACAAAAACTGTTAACAATTAAAAATTAACAAGCTGAAATTCTTAGGAATCATGACAAAAAGTGGCTTGGAAAACATGACATATTGAAAACAATAATAAAAACAGTTGTCATCTTCATAAGTTTGTGTTGTTGTCTCTGCATTCATTTACTTAAAGGTGTTCTTGAGCACAACAAAGGACAGGAAGATGTGAAGAGCCATGATTATTCATGTCCCTGAAGGGATATGGAATTTGTAATATGTATGTACAGGGCCAGTGCATGCTCCCCCACCTGCCGAATGTATGATACTGGAGCCCCTCCCCACTCTACTTAATCTCCATTTTCATAAGGTAGTATTTATAAAATACAAATTTTATTGTCACCTAATTATGTACAATAATGGATCATATGCAGCACAGGTGAACAATTCAACTAGAAAAATTGAAAATAAATACAATGTATCTAAAATACAAATTGAAGACATATCATAGATCATTACATCTTAAATAAATCAATGTTTTACAGCAATTTCTAATATCAATCTGAGATTTTTCTTATTAAAAAGTTGAATAGTTTTAACACATTGAAATATGGATAAAAATTAGTGAATTTTATATAGTGTCTTTTCAAGACTTAGCATGAGCAAAATGAACTCGGATTTGCCCCCCCCTCCACCAAAAAAAAAAAAGACCTCAGAATAACATCAAAATTTGCAAAATTTTTTTTGTTCTTTTTTTAATAGTCATTTCTGCTTAGTTTAATTTTATAACCTGTATAAATATAAGTAGAAAAAAACAAATATTGATGAGATAGTGAGGGTCAGTAAAGCACTGCTGGGGGAGCTGAAACTGAGAGTACACACCGGCTCTCTGTGTGTGAATGTGCATATGTATATATATATATATATATATATATATATATATATATATATATGAATTTCCAAAAGAATATATTTGGTTTTGTATAAAGAAAAAAAAACTCATTATTTTCAAATCTTTCTTTTCTGCCTTAAAACCTGCTTAGATCTCTCAGTAATCACATTCTCGTGTCTCTCAACACAGATAACAAAATAAGACCTTTTTATTCTTCTCATTTTTCAAACATTAGATAAAAATGCTTTTATAATAACTATTGGCACTTTAAAGTCTTTTAATTCACTCTATATTAATGTCTTGTTGTTGTGTGTTTATTGTTGTTGTTTTTTCCTGTTATTGTGATGGTTTTCTATTGCATGCTGAAGAAAAATGAAGCATTTTAATTTCCTCTTTAAAGCAATGAAAGTTTTCTGTTAGAGAAGACTTTGAAATTTTCATTCTTTTTATTTAAAATGCCTAAAATGGATTGGTTTGCCTTAAAATGCTTGCAAGTTGGAGTGAAGATGTTTTTTCAATAAATTTTAATTTCTTTGGACTTTTGCATCTATGAAATTTTTATGCATGCCTTTGAGAGCACCATCCTTATTTGTTTTAGTTTGTATAATTTTATCAACTGGCATCATGTTGAAAGCCGTTTTTTTATTGCTTCCTTTTTTATCAACAAAGTGACGTGACACAAGTGTAGAAATGAATTAAAATATTTCACTCACCCTAATCCAAAATGTGGATGGGTGCATGTAGAAGGACAAAATGAATTTCTCAAAGTCACTCACTTGCAGCTACCAAAGGTCGGTTTACTATTCTAACCAGTGGCAGAAAAAGACAGAAGTTTTTAAAGCAGATTTGCTGAAATTTTTTTATTTGCCATCCATTTATTTGCTGACACTTGTGCCATAATTTGTTAGGAGTGAAGCCAGTTTACATGTTTGTTGACCTCATCCATTGGTGAGGCATTTTCCTTCTTTTTTTTTTTTTTTTTTTTTTTCACACAAAAACAGCATATGACATGAAGTGTTTTGGCTTGCAAGGTACATCAACATTTTCTTCTGTAGAGTGCCTAATGGTTATCAGCACCTAAAGTAGAAATCAGGGTGCTGGGTTCAAATCCTGACCTGTTCACCAAGAAGTAATTCTGTCAGAAGAGCTTAAATCAATCTTACTCCAGTTATGGGTTAAATAGGAGGGAAAATTAGACTCTATAGTTTTGGTATGGGCAACAAGCCTGAGGAATAAATTTGAATTCATAACCCCATAGATAATGGAGTAAATTGGGTTCTGTTGCTCTGGGTGCAAGCCAGTCTAGGGGAAGAACAGATCTGAATTCAAAAGTAACATAAAGAAAATTTGGTTCAGTCAAGCTATCTTGCCTCAGATTGCAGTACATCTGATGCCCTTAACATCCTAGTGGCTTGCAGGACTCATGATTGAGCCCAAAGTATATATTCGAGAATCGGTGCCTATGACTGTTTTATTCTATCATTAAAAATCCAATGTCTAAACTAATAGAAAGTCCTAAATTTTGCCATGTTAAGATAAGGAAAAAAATGTATGAGGCTCGTGTATAATAATTATAATGAAAAGCTGAATAACACACCGTTATTTTTGGTAATAAGAACCAAGAAGTGTCACCTGCAAGTTTACATATTCAAGCTTTACATATCCAAGAAAGTTTACATATTCAAGCTTTACGTATCCAACAAGGAGTAAGATTATATGAAGAGGTTGCACTAACATTGAAAGCAATGAAATAAATTGCAAAGTAGTTGGAAAGTTTCCTATCTCGTTAAACAGAATAAATTTGATTGGTTTTGTTGGGAACAGGTGAAAAAGAAACAAGTAGAGGTTTAACTGGATTCATAATATTTCCAAAATGGAAGGGAGGTAACTTGTTTCTAAAAGTCAAACACTTAATAAAATTAGTATTTATTTAGTCGGTATTCTTAAGTCTCAGACAATTTAAGACTTCAGTTCTATCAAATAACCAGATAACCGATTATTGGCATTAAGTCCTTGATATAGTGGCACCTTAATATACAGAGAGAACAGAATAGCTGAAAGAAAGGGAATGACAAAGATGCTTTGTTCTCAAAGAGATCTTTATACTTCTAAGTCATACACAAAATTTATAAAGTCTTTCATCAGAACAATTACCATGAAAGTATTTATAGAAACGGCACATGGAAGCTACATAGATGCTAGGTCAGGATGCATAACATTGCAGATTCTTTGTATTAAGAATCTATAAACTTTGTTTTGAAATGCTATTAACTAAACAAAGTAACAGAGTTCAACAGTAAAGACTCTTGAAATTATTTTTTTTTTTTCCGTTTTGTGTTAATATTTTTCTAAGGATTTTGTTCAAATATTTCCTGTAATGAGCAAAATTTGAAATTTTGCAAAAAGTAAAATAGTTTCATATATATAAAAAAATTTCAAAGTGTTCAACATTTTTTTTTTCACTTAAGCTTTATAAAATTTTAAGAATATAAAAAAAAATCTTTTAGAGAAGATAAGACAAAGGAATATATTCATTTTTATGGTCTGTTATCTTCTATGATTATAAGGTCAAGAACTTTTTTTCCTTCTAATTTCATTAAGTTTTGGTGCTTTGACATATCTTAAAGAAAAATGAAACAAAGTTTGTAATTTAAAATTAACGTTTTAATTTCATTCAACAATTAGTCATTAGTTCCATTTAAAAACAAAACAAATTTTAATTGCTTCTTTTTATCTTCTATGCAGATTTTCCATTAATTTTTGCTATGAAGGACACAACGATGAATTTATTGGACTCCATTTTAATCCACGTCCTGATGGTGAAACAGTTGTCCTCAACAACTATGATGGTGGCTGGGGAAATGAGCAAGTTATTGAATACAATCCTTTTAGGCCATGGACAATGTTTGACCTGATGTTTGTTGCAACTGAAGAAGGAATGAAAGTAAGTTTTTATTGAAGAATTTAGAATGCTCTTATAGGCATTATATCATTGTCATATATCATTATCAGATGATATATGATTATCATATAATATCATTAATAAAATATGATATCATGCATGATATCATAAAAAAATAATTTGCTAATTTGTTCTAATTTATTCCTGTAATTATAACCATTAGATATGCAGATGACATTTTTGTGGATATGTGTGTTGAAGAGGAATAGAAGGTTTGAATTATCAGAAGGCTTAAAATTGTGTGTGTTCAATAATCTTCCACCCACAACAATTAATACAAGATAGAGAATAATTATTGAAAAACATAACGTGTTGTTTCAAACGTAACAATTGAATTTATTAGTGTTTGGTATACATGCATGAATAGTGAGTGAAAAGGTTAGACAGTTGTGTCTCTTAGATTAGGTAATATTTGTACCCAAGTTCATAAAGTGAAAGTAATTATTAAACTGTAGTTTAGAAGAATAAAGTTTCTTCAGCATGTTTGGAATTGTGTATTGTACAAGTTGGTAAAAGTTCAGAAGAGATTTCAGTTTGTACTTGCGTGAATGTTGGTAATGGTCTTTAACGTCTGACTGCATTAGTTATGACGGGAGTTCTTGAAGATTACATCTGGTTGACAAATGAGATGCAAGAGAGAGAAAAAGAAACAACAGGGAGCTTACATGTGTTCTGTTTTTATAAGGTCGTGTATCACGTGGGAGGCTCCGAGCATATTGAGTGGGGAAAACAGATTTGTCGCGTGCAGGCAGTTTGATTGGTTGGAACTGACCAATAGGCGAGCTAGATTGAAGGTGATTAACCAATGAATGCTTGTGATATATTTTGTAAGATTGTGATGGTGAAAATTACAACAGGTATAGTGCATTTCCTAGCTGGGGTTAACTGACTTGTTGTGGAAGATTTCACAACATAGTATTGATAGCAGAAACAAAACTATAAGATGTTCTACAGGGGTTAGTAAAGGAAAACAAGCAAAAAAACAATTGTAAGAAGACGGAATGTATACATATCAGTCAAAAGAAGAGCCCAATGAGCAAACTATGAATTGAAGATAGTAAAATCAAGAAAGTACAAAAATTTAAATATGAAAGGGTTTTAACAGAAGATTGAATTTGTGATACCAAAATCTGAAATGGCATTGGGATAGTACAAGATACCTACCAAAAGCAGAGTATTAAAAAAACAGGAAAACTTTATTAGAAATAAAGAAAAGAAGTGAACTGGTATGAAATATTGGTCTAGCAGTGAAAGCTGGACAATCTCCTCAGGCGAAGAGGCAACAGAAATATGGTTCTATAGAAGAGTGCTGAGAATACCATGGACGAAACCTGTGAACAACAATGAAGTTTTAGAGAAAATAGAAGTGAAAAGGATACTTACACATAACATCTGGAAGAGAAAGTTGAAATTTCTAGGGTACGTAATGAGGAAAGGGGTCTTAGAAAATTTGACACTCACAGGACATATTGATGGCAAGAGGGACAGAGGAAAGCAGTATATAAGCTACTTAAAAAGCTTGGGTAAATAGTTGGCAGAACAGATTAGATGAGTTAGGTAAAAGAAAAAAATTACTAAGAGCTACAAGGGAAAGTAGATTGTGGAGAGCTATGATCGGCCATGTTCATGGCACATTGAAGAAGAATTATATCATGCCATATCTCTAATTCAACATCTGATGAAAATATGTCAATTTCTTCCCAAGTGACAAGGGATATCAATCTTGCTGTACTCATTAAAATACACTGACTCTTTTTTTTTTTTTTTTTTTTATCTCTTTTCAGATCTTCCTGGACAACAAGCTCTTTGCCCTGTATCCATTCCGTTGTGCTGTTCACGACTTGAGATATCTTCACATTAAAGGATCTGTGAGCATAGCAAGTGTAGAATATTTGGAGCCTCTGGTAAGTTAGTTTCTCTATTAGATCAAGGTTTGTCTCACAATCTTTTTGCAGAGCTAAACCTGTATTTAACAAGAAAGGTAAACCTGTATTTAACAAGAAAGGTAAACCTGTATTTAACAAGAAAGGTAAACCTGTATTTAACAAGAAAGGTAAACCTGTATTTAACAAGAAAGGTAAACCTGTATTTAACAAGAAAGGTAAACCTGTATTTAACGAGAAAGGTAAACCTGTATTTAACGAGAAAGGTAAACCTGTATTTAACGAGAAAGGTAAACCTGTATTTAAGAAAAGAAAGGTAAACCTGTATTTAACGAGAAAGGTAAACCTGTATTTAACGAGAAAGGTAAACCTGTATTTAACGAGAAAGGTAAACCTGTATTTAACGAGAAAGGTAAACCTGTATTTAACGAGAAAGGTAAACCTGTATTTAACAAGAAAGGTAAACCTGTATTTAACAAGAAAGGTAAACCTGTATTTAACAAGGTAAGTCAGTTGAATGTATTAAGATATCAATTTTAAGACATGTTACCTAAAAAAAAAAAAAAAAAATACAAAAAAAAAATTATTCTATTATTTTTGTAAAGTAAATTCTAAATTTGACGCATCATGAAGATGTTGTGAGTATGAAATAACTCGCTTTAACCACTCTTCCAATTTGGGTGCACCAAGGAAAAAGATGGAAATAAATTTGTGAGCTTCTGAAATTTTCTTTGGACCAATGAAAACCTTGCCTTTACAGAGATTGGCAGGACCTATGTGAAATTGCTTTTGAGTTAATTCTTTTTTATATAAAATAAGGAGAAAAATTAAAGAGTGTCTGAAGTCATGTGAAAGGTTTTGTTTCTGGTCCTGCATACAGTGTTCAAGTTTTTGCTTGTTCCAAATTATTTGCCAATTATTGGACTTTTAACCAAGCACATAATACTTCAAAGAATTTTCTTTCAACAGTCTAAGAAAACTGAGTATTTCAAACTTTCTTCGTCTACTTTTGAATATATGTAACCGTATATCACTTTTGTGAACAAACTCTCTTACCTTTTTGTTTTAAACATTTATGAATATTATTTCTGTCTGATCATTTAATCTGTTGTATGGACATTTTGTCTTCATGACAATTCCTTAAAACTACAGACTTTTAAAAAAAAAAAAAAATGTCATTTTCCTGAAACGAGCTACTGACACAATTTCAAGCATGCAAAATGTAAATAAATTCCTTATTTTGTTTTAAAATTACCCGTGTGTTTCCTCATTGTTACCATCCTCCATTAATCTTCTTGGAGTGGGTAAATCAACTGTTCATTTTAATCCTAAAGCCCCACTCCTGACATCTAATGATAATGTTTTTATTAAATTTATTAAATAATTTTTCTGTAACAGAAAATAATTTATATAAAAACTTAAATATAATAAGTATCTTTATTTAGAGTTTATTGACTTTACACATACTTATATTAAAAATTACTGATTATATTATCGGAAAAAATTATATATATATATATATATATATATATATATATATATATATAAAAGCTACCTTATTTGAGTTGCTATGCACTCTTCTCTCCTCTGCCAATTGAAGAGCTCAGAAAAAGCAACAAAAATATAAAATGATTGATTTAATTTTTATGGCTTATCAGGTCTTTGTGAGCTATTTAAAGCTAAAACATTTTTGATTTTTAGAATATTTATTTATTTATTTTTTTTTTGAGTTAATACTGCATTAACTTTTTTTTTTTTTTTTTTTTTTAGGATAATGATTTTCCAGATAAGTCTTACTATTTAACTCATAGCTGTGGGGAGGAGATGGAAATATAAAATGAAAATAAGCCGAGAGGCCATTGTCTTTTCTGTTGGCATGATAGAAACAGCAATAGTAAAATGTATTAAATATATTTTTAATGCTGTATTAAATTTCAATCTTGTTATATAGGAATATAAAGGGTCACTGCTGACACTTGTGTTTGAACATAGATTGCAAGTGAGCAAACACATGTGATCCCATTATGGAATTAAGTGTATCACGTGACCATAGAGGAAATGCATAAGTGGAAAGTCACATGATGTCTAATTGATCGCTATTCCTATTCTATCCTCTATACTATTCAAATCACCATTTCTACTCTATCCTCTATTACTATATGGACTGCTATTCTCTACTCTATTCACTATATTATTTCTCTATTCAGATCACTATACAGCAGTTACTTTCAAATGAGTATTATCAAGCAAGTACTATTAGCATGAGATATTCAGAGGCATCTGACACTAGTATTGTACAATGGTGTTACTATAGTTGTATCTGCAATTATGACATCTCTACTACAATGAGCATTATGAAAGTGACAAGTATTTTTGACATCACAAAAAATTTCCAACTTGGTTTTTCAAATTGGGCTACTTTTGAAATCCCAATGTTACACAATTTTGAATTTTATTATTTGTAACTATGCCATGGAAAAACTGACATATTTAAAATATGAAATTAAAAAACAGGAGAAAAAGCAGACAAAAAAAATACTGAGTGTTTGTGTGTGTGTGTGTGTGGGGGGTGTTTAACTGGTTTCATTTTCCTCTTATCAAAACTCGATTTAGGTTAATAAAATAGAAGTACATACTGACAAGAAAGAAAACAAAACACCCGCATTAGTAATACGCTAATGACAATATATTTAGAGATCAGATTAAGGCCAAGCAGCCATTTGCCCTGTTTACACAGGGAAGGCTCTCTAGACTTCATGAAAATTCTTTCATGCAACGTTAAGATGAGAGTATGATCTGCACAACCAACACGGGACATGTTCTCCTGGTATGCTGTGGAGCACTAATGTTAGTTTATCATGTGTTCTGCAATTACAGACTTAGATGCAAATTATCACTCGGCTGATCTCTCCTGATAATTTCACAGCATGTTCTAGTGCTCTTTTATTTTTTTTATTTTTTGGGGGGGTATTTTTTATGTTCTTACTTATTTCCTCTTGCTATTTAACTTCATATTTGAAATCTGTCTGCTTACAGTAATATAATTAAATTCTGTATCAACAAAATCTTTATTTGTAAAAGTTTTTTTTTTTTAAGTAAGCTAGGCTAATGTCGCCTACTTCTATGGCAGTTCAAAGTTTGGGGTGCTGGGCTTTCAAGTGTTGACAAATTTACAACTTTCAGCCAAATTTCTCTCTCTCTTTGTTCCATTCTCTCTCTCTCTCTTTGTTCCATTCTCTCTCTCTTTGTTCCCTCTCTCTCTTTGTTCCATTCTCTCTCTTTGTTCCATTCTCTCTCTCTCTTTGTTCCATTCTCTCTCTCTCTTTGTTCCATTCTCTCTCTCTCTTTGTTCCATTCTCTCTCTCTCTCTTTGTTCCTTTCTCTCTCTCTCTTTGTTCCATTCTCTCTCTCTCCCTTCTCTCTCTCTTTTGTCCCTTTCTCTCTCTCTCTCTTTGTCCCTTTTCTCTCTCTCTCTCTCTTTGTTCCATTCTCTCTCTCTCTTTGTTTTGTCCCTTTCTCTTTGTTCTTTCTCTCTCTTTGTTCCTTTCTCTCTCTCTTTTCTCTCTTTGTCCCTTTCTCTCTCTCTTTCTCTCTCTTTGTCCCTTTCTCTTTGTCCCTTTCTCTCTCTCCCTTTCTCTCTCTTTGTCCCTTTCTCTCTCTCTTTCTCTCTCTTTGTCCCTTTCTCTCTCTCTTTCTCTCTCTTTGTCTCTCTCTCTCTCTTTGTCTCTCTTTGTCTTTGTCTCTCTTTGTCTCTCTTTGTCTCTCTCTCTCTTTGTCTCTCTCTCTTTGTCCCTCTCTCTCTCTTTGTCTCTCTCTCTCTCTTTGTCTCTCTCTCTTTGTCTCTCTCTCTTCCTCTCTCTCTCGTAACTTATGAATTTTTAACATTTTAAGTTTACATTATTTATGAAAACATTTCTGCTGCATTCAAAAACATAATCTGTGAAAAAAGAGGAATGGTGGTCTCTTGTTTAGTCAGCAAAACTATCAAATTGTGAAGGTAAAATGTGTCCCCCTGTTAGTGTGCAGGGACTTCTATAGCCATTTGATGACATAGGGTCATATTTTATAATGGGTCATCCAAAAACAAAATCATGGCTACTTCTGCAGACATCAGGGTGTACTTCATAATATTGCCTCTCCTAAGTAATGGCGAAGTATTGTCTGAGGGACAGTGCCTAGGTCTACAGGCCTGTCAAATTTTTAGTTCTAATTTGTTCTGTTTTTAAATTAGGCTGTCCTTGTATAAAGACTGAGGTGGTTAGCTACTGCACAATCTTGAGAGAGAGAAATATATATATATATATATATATATATATAAATGTGTGTGTGTCCTTTTTGTTTCCATTTCCCTTAAAACTTCATCATTACTTACATGTACACTATCCTTCTGTAGAACTACATCTCCATAACCTTAAATCTTTCTTCATCTGTGAGGAAATTGTCCATATACAAGGGGATGTTTGTATCTCTGTCACCTTTTCACTAAAGATCCATCCAACTGATTTTGACCAAACTTGGCATATACATTGTACAATGTATGAGATAGGTTCTCAGCATAAAAAATCACTAATCAGTAAAGCCAATCAAATATCAATAAACTCAACTCTTTTCCTTTGATTTTGTTCGAACTTGGTATGTAGGTTATCTAACTATAAGTAATAAGGAGTGCCAGAGAAAAGTGATAACAAAAATTGCAATATGAGCTCTGGTAAAAACATGAAATGATAACAGCAAAAATTGCAATATGAGCACTAGTAAAAAAATACCAAGAAATTCATACACAGAAGTCCTCAAAGACACATGTCACAGTTGATAAAGGTGTTAGTTAGATCCAGTGACATGACCGAAAGAGTGTGAGTTCAATACCTGGTTAAGGTGGTGGAAAATTAACAGGAGATAACTGATAACTGACATGGCACGTGGAACTAGAACAGCCTACCCCAGTGAGTGAAATAATGGGTTCAGTTCAACATTCGAACCACCTGAAGAAGGCCAGAACATAGAACGTCCGAAATGTAATAAATATGGCGACAAAGATGAGGACAATAGTCCAAATAATGTAAATAGTGTAAATAAGTTAATTGTTTAACAGTCATTTAACTTGATAATTGAGCATACCCATACTCGCGTAAATAGTGAAAAATGGCGATTATTACTGGTCATTTTTTTACTTTTCATTGATCTTTCAACCAATTTTCATCAAACTTAACAATTACTTTATAAATGTATCTTCTTTTACATCATAAGTAGTGCACTGACAAATTGAATTTTAAAAACTCCAAAATAATTCTGTAGTGGGTCTTCATGTTGCCTGTTTTACCCCTTCATGTCCTTGAATAAAAACATACTACTTCTTTGCATCAGTAACTGATAAATGTTTTTAATGAAAGTACTTTAAAGTAATTGAAGAAGATAGACTTTGTTACATCTGAACATGATGCTGTTTTTGCTCCATTCTAATTGAACACATTTTTCTGATCGACCAGCTGGGTATGGCTGCTAGTTAATATAAGTGGATTGAGATTATCTATCAGCTGAGAACTGGTTTCTTTGTTTCTAACAAAATTTTTCCAGTTCTTAATTTTGGAAAACATCTTTTGCTAATCCAATATGCCTTTGTATTTTTGTGTCACATTTTCTGTGTTGCTAAACTATTTCCCAGATATTTAAATTTCTGTAATTGTTTGATTTTTTACCAACTTGAATGCCTGGCTCACATCTTGAAGCCTCCCTTAATGACAACCATAACTACCACATTTGCTTTTTTGTAAGATTTTTTTTAATGTACCAAATAACTGGCCTTTATGGATAGAAGATGGCTGAGTGCCCCTACTGGTAGAATAGGGTGTTTAATGATCCTGCTAAGCATAAAAATTTTTATTATTAAAAAAATATTGAAAATAAGGCACATTATTACAATAAATTGTGTTAATAATAAAATATTGAAAACGAACCAAATCAAGAGTCTAGTGACACAAACTGTCAAATTGTTTATGGTACATTTAACAGTTAAGAGGGAAATGCATAACATCTCACTCTACCTTCTAATGTAGCATACATAACCCACGTGAGATATACGGTATTATTAATGGCTGTGTTACTTTTAAGAAATATTTGTTTATTACTGTACCTAGAATAAAAAATGGTCATAGAAACGTGAAAACAATATTAACTTCAGCCATTTACAATGTGTAAAGGATGAAAGTGGCAGCATTCCAAACTCCTAGGTTCAAGTTATTGAACTGTCAAAGACAAAATTATCATTTTGGGGTCTTAAATTACCATATTTATGGTGGTTTGAAACACTTCTGAAACATACATGTATCAGATTTTTATATGCTTCCAATAAGATACATATACTACACTGTTATGACTGTCATTGCTATATTAACAGTTATATACCCTTTCATTTTGCTATGGCATTGATTACTGGAATTTATTGTATTTTACTGATTGCTAGCTATATATATATATATATATATATATATATATATATATATATATATATAATGTGTATGTGCAAATATATATAAAAATAGGAAAGAACAGGTTAGGTAAATAATCCAAAGTTCTTTAGTATTTTTGTTTTTATTTTTAAAAAAACAGTGCTCAATATTTAAAAAAAATATGATTCCTTCGCTACATAAGAGTTTTCATCTTTCAAAAACTTCAATATAATTATTAAAATTAAATTGAATTATCAATCTCTTTCATCCTCAAGTGAAATTTTTGGAATTTCTTTCCAAAAATTTCACTTGAGGATGAAACAAAGCTTGATACTTTAATTTAATTTTCATAATTATATTGAAGATTTTGAAAGATGAGAACTCTTATGTATCAAAGGAAACATTTTTTATATATATATATATATATATATATATTATTTTTTTTTTTTTTTTTTTTTTTTTTTTTTTACAGTAATGTCCATCCAGAACAAAGCTGGGAGCCACTCGAGGTAGAGGGCCAAAGCAATAGAATTTTGGGGATTTAGGCAAATCGTTATAGTAATTCATCGCTTCTAGAAGAATCTACAACAGAATGTAGAAAGCACTGGATGGCAGTTTCATCTTATTTTTGGGACTCATTAGCAGTGGGCAACCACTAACGAGATTCAAACCTGTTCCATTTCAGTACAATGCAAACATCATATCAACAGGCCTCGGTGACAAAGAAGAAACTAAATAGACTCTATATAGTGCTGCAACTCACAAATTCCATGGTGATACTCATACAAGTATTCATAACCCAACAGATTGTGCCCCAAGAGCCTCGTCTTTCCTTTTCCCCGAACTGCTCCATTGTAGAACATTAGCTGGGTCAAGCAAGGACATATAAGTAATAGAATTTGGGAGATTTAGGCAAATCGTTATAGTAATTCTTCGAAAATAGGATGAAATGGCCATCCAGTGCTTTCTGCATTCTGCTGAAGATTCTTCTAGACTATGAATTACTAATATATATATATATATATATATATATATATATATATATATATATATATATAAAATGTATACACACACACACACAAGGGGAAAATAATGGTTAACTCTAGACTTGAACAGGTTAAGATTGTAGTGACTGGGGAAACATCTTCTTGGGAGTCTGTTCCACAGGGCAGTGGTTTGTGAGAAGAAGCTGTTTGAGTGGAGGGAATATTGGTGATTTGTTGCCATGTAAGTGGCATGGCAGGTCCTAGCCGGGAAGGTTAGATCTGATTAAACCAAAGAATATAGTTTGTCTAAGCAATTTCTATGGCAATAGCGATAGAGCAATGAAAGACTCGCCACATCCCACCTTTGAGAGAGACGTTGGAGGATGGAAAATAATTCTCCAATATCAATTCTCATTGTTACAAATGTATCAATATTTCTTTTCTGCTTTGGCAAAATTAATTTAGCTTCCTTTTGAAAGTTTGTTCCAATATATGACTTCATACTTTATGCCAGTCAAGTATTACAAGTTAGCTACTTGCATCAGAGAGCCAAGTTTGAATTCCGGTTGAGTTCATTACATTTACTTACATGCTAATATCCTTGGAAAAGTTATGAATCCATCTCTTCCAAACACCAGTTATGGGTAAATAGGGCAGATTTGGCCCAGTAGCCTTGGTTGTCAACTAGTCCAGGAGAAGGAAAACTCTGCTGTGGCTGCAGTAAATGTAGTGACCCTATGACTTTAAGGGATTACAAGATTTTTTTTTTATAGACTGTAGGGATATTATTATTATTATTATGATATAAATAAATAAAAATAATAATAATGGAAATTATAAATAAAATAAAACAATAATATTTAAACTTTGTTTAAAATAAATTAAATAAAAATACTCACAATATGCAACAAATACTGCTCCTGTTGGAAATACGGACATCCTGCCAAAAGACATTAAATTCAGTCTCTTCATCACAAACCTTGGTACAGGCAACACATGTCTAACTTTTGTCTGTGATATGGCTTATAATACTATGGAGTAATTTCTCACTTTTATCACAAGTACCATAAAAAAATTGTAATCTAAAAAATAAACACACCAATACACACAAATATAAATAAAATTGTATGAAATTAACATACAATTTCCCATGCTTTTCCTGTTATTTCTGTACATTTTATTTCCTGTCATGTATGATTTTATCTCCATGAGCATGAAGCTAATTTCTACTGATATGTGAGTGACCCCTCTCCCCCACAAAACCATGCCTATCTAAAATGAAACTCTCTAACCATCTGAGAGCCTACAGTGGATGTGGAAGAGCATTGCCAGTCTTTGTTCATGTTGTCACAGCATTATAAGTTTAAATATAATTCATTAACTTGCATGGATTTTTTTTTTTTTTTTATTTATTTATTTTTTTTTTTTTTTACTAAAGTGCAAGCTGTAGAAAGGCAATGATTTTTTCTTTTTTTTTTTCCTTGCAGCCGAATGATTATGTGAAAGAAATCGCTTCTGGTTTACAACCAAAAGATGTCATTAAAGTGAAGGGTTTATTCCGTCCTGAAGGTGAACGGTAAGAATCAATACCTCCTTGATTACTTTAGTCTAAATTTCTGATGGGAATTATAATTATTATTATTATTATTATTATAATTATTATTATTATAATTATTATTATTATTATTATTATTATAATTATTATTATTATAATTATTATAATCATCATCATCATTCGATTTCTGCTATGGACACACTACCTACCAAGTCTGCGGAAAGACCTAAGGCAGGTCGTGGTGTGTTGTTATGGCCACATTTCATGTTAATTTTTTTTTTTTTTTTTTTTATCTCCGATGAAGTTGCTAGCGTTACATAGACAAAGTTCTCCTTAGTGTGTGTGCTGTACTTAATAAGACAATTTTCTGTATGTCTCTAAGCTGGGGTTTCCAGGGATTCTTTCAATGTGTTGTTTTGTTCCATTTTTATAATTCCAAGTGCACCTATTACCACTGGTATTATTCTTGTTTTCAATTTCCACATTTTTTCTATTTCAATTTCCAGGTCTTTGTATTTTGATAGTTTTTCAAATTCCTTGTTTGCTATGTTACAATCCGCTGGACAAGCCATATCAATTAGTAGGCAAGTTTTTTTTTTCTGGTTTTTTGACAATGATGTCCGGCCTATTTGCTTCAATTTTTTCTGTCTGTGTGGATGGTATAATCCCATAGAATGGTGACATCTTCTATTTCTGTAACCGGCGCTGGCCGATGTTCATACCAGTGTTTGCTTACACATTTTCCAAAGTGTTTGCACATTGTCCAGTGTAAGTATTGCCCCACTCTATCGTGACGATTTTTATATTCATTTGGGGCAAGTATAGAACATCCTGAGATTAGATGGTCTATTGTTTCTTGGTATTTGTCACAGAACCTGCATTTTGGATCCACATTATTATGTATGATATTTGCCTGAAAATTCCTAGTGAAAAAGACTCTGGTCTTGCGCTGCAAGAATAAAGCCTTCAGTTTCAGACTTTAATCCAGATGCTCGTAACCATCGATGAGTATTAACTTTATCAACATTGGGTTTATTTGCACGTTCTGGATATTGGCCATGCAGAGGTTTGTCTTGCCAGCGTTGTTTCATCTGTTCAAGGGCTTTATCCTTGGCTTTCTTTTTCATATCTTTTTGCTGCAATAGTTGGTTCTTGGCTTCTGTTTTGATTTACTACAGAATCTACTAAATGTAAATGTTGTTTGTATTTACTGCCTTCTTTTATTATTGAATATTTTTTTCTTTCTGTTTTCATGTTGTTTCACTAATTTTATCATCCAGTCATTTGTTGTTTCCATGTAAGTTAGTAAGCCAATAGTTGTTGTCTTGTATGACAATTCTAGCTGAATAAGACCTCTTCCACCTTCTTTACGGGGTATGTATAGACGGTCTACATCAGCCTTTGGATGATGCATCTTATACTTAGAAAGAAGCTTTCTTGTTTTAGAATCCATTTGTCTGATGTCATTTAGAGTCCAGTTCAAGATGTTGAAACTATATTGGACCACTGGGATGGCAAGGTTATTAATGGCCATAATTCTGTTCTGAGAATTCAATTCAGTTTTTAATACCAGTCGTACTTTTCTATAGTACTCTTTACGCACTATTTCTTTCATTTTCTTATGGTGAATTCCTTCACTCTCATTTACACCTAGGTACTTATAAGCTTCTCCTTGTTCTAAATCTTTTATTGTTACAGCAGGGTCTAAACTAATAGAGGAAGTTTGTTGTAGCGATCCTCGTAAAACTGTAGCTTTAGCACATTTATCCAAATTGAATTTCATTCCAATGTCTTCACTGAAGCATTTTACAGTTTGCAGAAGACCTTCCAGCTCATTGTCATTCCTAGCATACAATTTTAAGTCATCCATGTAAAATAGATGGTTTATTTTCTTTTTGAGCTATTTTGTAAACCGCATTCTGTCTTGTTAAGTTGGCTGGTTAATGCTATAAGTGATATGCAAAATAATAAAGGAGACAAAGAGTCACCTTGAAATATTCCTCTATTGATGTTTATTTCGCCAGACTTATAGGTTCCATTTTTATGATTGAGGTAAAGTGTAGTTTTCCATATCGACATACATTGTTTGATGAAATTGATGATAACGGGTGATACCTTGTACCTTTAAAGACTTTAAGATCCAGGAATGTGGTACACTATCGAATGCTTTACGATAATCTATCCAGGCAATACTAAGATTTTTTTTCCACGGAAGCAGTTTTCCAGGATCATCCTATTAATAAGTAATTGGTCTTTTACATCCGTAGCAGCCTCGTTTGCACCCTTTTTGTTCAAGTGGTAGTATGTCATTTCTTTCCAAGAAGAAATATGTCTGTTTTGTTAAAATAGATGTTAACAGTTTGTATGTTGTTGGAAGACATGTAATTGGTCTATAGTTTTTCGGAATATTTGTGTCCCTATTTTTGGGTAGAAGAAAGGTAACTCCTTTGGTCATCCATGCAGGAATTTTAGTTGGATCGGTAACCATTTCTTGAAGTTCTTTGGCGAGTTTTTTTGTGTGCTGTATTTAAATAATATAGCCAGAAGTTAGAATTTTATCTATTCCTGGAGATTTCCAGTTGTGTGCTTTTTTTCAGTGCACATTTAACATCTTCTTCTGTGATTCCCGCCCATGTCTGTTCTGGTTTATTTTTCATTCGATTTCTAACTCTTGCGCAATCCAATCTGCCTCTTCGTTTGTGTTCTTTAGGGCAAGCCCATATTTTTCCCCAGAACTGTATAACTTCTTCCATTTTAGGGGGACTGTCACTTCAATTCTTTGTTTACCTATTTCCCTGTAAAATTTCTTTGCATCGGTTTGAAAGATCTTGTTCTGTCTATAGAATCTTGATCTTTTCTCAGCGTCTTATTCTTTGAGCCTTCAGTTGTATTGTTTGCTTTATTTTTTCTTTAGTTGATAGGACTTCATTTTCATTCCTGATATTGTATTTTCTTTCGACTCTTCTGCCTTTTCTAGTTCTTACATTTACTCCTCTTGCTAGTTCATCGAGTACTGATAATTCACTTCTAAGGTGTTCAATTTTTTTCTATTTTTCTTTTCCAAGGTGGATCTTCATGTCTGTGAGACTGCCTTTTTTTTACTTTGATGTTCAGTTTATTTGTTGCTGCTATTGCTGATGCATATATTGCTTCATTGAGATTTATATGAGTGTCTTCTTCATCCAGAATCAATTTGAGTGCTGCATTATAGAGCTTAATAGTTTTGAGGTTATGCTTTGTTGGTTGTAATTTTGGGAGTTGTTCTCGTTCCTCCATTGCAATATTCTGTATCTGACTTATATGGCTCATGATTTCATCCTTGGCTTCTTGTATATTAATCTTGTTTTCTGTGAAATAATTCTGTTCGATGAATTTTGAACTCGTTTTATTACCGTCTTGTGACTGACTAAGATCATACCTTTCCAACATTTCTAAATTTTCAGCATTATCTTCACAGTGATTTGTGTGTATTTCGGTTTTTTTCATTATGACCTGAGGCTTGTGTGATGTTATTACTTTTTTTTTCCGATTCGGTTCCTTTTCATGTTTTGTTGGTTCATCTATTCTTGTTGCAATTCTTTTTATTTCATTAATTTCAGCCTCTGTCAATCGGTTATTTCGCATGATGTCCCTTCTTACATTGGCTAGTTTTATTTTTGTCTATGTACTTTCTAATTGTTTGCCCAACCTTCTCTCGTAAATGTCATATGTTTGGCGGTGATGTTTTTCTGAGGTTTGAGTAACGCTTCATGGAATGCAGTCATAACAACTTTGTACTCCCCACGAGACCATTTATTTTTTTCTTTCCTTAAATTTACGGTTATGGATCTAGCTGGAGAATTTACAGGACCATCATTAGGATTATCCTGGTTGTGGGGACCTGAAGATTCATTCTTTGTGTAGGAGTTTGTTCCTATGGCAGATTTTTTGACCTCAGGTAGGTTCCCTCCTGAAGGACGGGCTCCCTGTTTATCCACTGGAAGAGCCATACTGGACGTTTTGTTTCTATTTTTAATTTTCATATTAATCCCACGAGTGACGCACGGGTCCAAAAGTCCACCCAAATTATTATTATAATTATTATTATAATTATTATTATTATAATTGTTCTTGTTATAATTATTAATTATTATAATTATTGTTTTATTTCCTTTGGTTTCTGGTGTATACTCATTTTTTCTGGGTCTTGACCAGCGATCTAAGGTTAGAAATGACATCATATTTTCCACTGAACAGTTTTGATTTAAAAAAAAAAAAAATCGCACACTACTACTACTACTACTACTATTGTTACGAGAAGAGCACAATTTAAGAAAAGAAAAGAAAAAAAACAATATTTCAACAGAATGTCTGTTTTCAAGTTATATTTTTAAAAAAAGTCTTTGTACACATGTTGCTTGTCTTGTAAAAAAAAAAAAAAAAAAAATGGCTGGGCTGGTAATGAACGCATCAAAACAAATGAAATGCCGCCAACATGAAGGCATGCAACTGAAATGTTGGTGGCATTTAATTCATTTTGATGCAGTCATTAGCAATACAGCCATTTTTTTCCCACTACATGACAAGCAACATTTAATAAAGAATTACAATTTCTTGTAGATTTATATTTTTGTTTTAAAATTTAAAAAAAATATAACTTTAAGACATTCTGTCTAAATATTGTTTAACATTATCAAAAACTGTTTTTCTTTGCTTTTTCTTTTCTTAACTGGTGCTCTTAATTGTTGAAATATATTGGATGAGTTACATCAATCAATTTGTTTATTACTATTATTATTAATATTATTATTGTGCTTGTTCCTCTTGTTAATTTGCATGACCATTATGTCCTGCCAATACTGCATACATAATGAACTATTCTGTTTTGATTGTGCAGAAAGAGGAGAAAAGACATTACTTGATTTCAGCGAGAAAATAAATAAAAGGAAGAAAGCAAAGATAGACTTGTTTAACATGTGTTTCAGTGAAATGGGGGAAAAAAAGCTGTCAATTTAAAATCTTTTTTGTACCCACTTACAATTACGATCAGCATTCATAATTATGATTGTTATATACAATATTTTGTTAAAGTTGTTCAGCTAAAATATTTAACAATGCAATAGGGGAATTTCTATGGGTATTTTATTGTCATAGAACTCACTCTGGGCTTACTCAATCATCAACTTAAGAATTAAGATTCATTAGAGTATTAAAGCTGAAATTTTCACTGGTCTTTCTCATTACCAACATTATTATTATTATTATTATTATTACTACTATTGTTGTTTATACTGCTAATACTACTACTATTATCTTATAATTGTGCTTGTTCCTGTCTTTGTTTCAACCATTAAACCTTGCCAATACCTTATAAATAATGGATTATTTCATTTTGATCATATGGAAAGAAGGGAAAAAGACACCACTTGGTTTCAGTGAGAAGATGAAAGAAAGCTCCAAAAGGCCAAGAAGTGATGGCAGGTGATAAAAGTGCACGCTTAGTTGATTTCCATCATTCGATACTAAGACAATTTCCAAAATCCAGTTATCATAAATAACGTCATCTGCGGAATTATTTTTAAATTATTAAGAGAAATGTTTGTAAGATGGGGATTTGATTAATTATTAATATTGTTACTATTACTACTACTATTATTATTAGTATTATTACTTGAAACTCGTGGCGATTTCCGCTTTGGCGGATTTCGCCCAGTTTTGACAAATAAGGATTGTTTCTCGGCCTTTGGCTGAGATTCGATCACGGCTATGACTAGTTATGACTGGCTTCGGCCCGGACAAGCTATGACCAGTTTTGGACCAGTGACTGGAAACACTCGGGTCTCCCACGTTAAACGACCTTGTGTGACATCCTGACCCCGTGGGAGTCAAGTAATTACCACTACTATTATTATTATTATTATTATTATTATTATTATTATTATTGCTACTGTTATTGCTTCTATTGTTAGTGTTAGTATTTCTGTTATTGTTATTAGACACTGATTTATTAAAATTGTCATCCATATCTTGGTTATTAGCTACAGTCCTTGAGCTTGCTTTAAGTGTGAAAGATTAATTAGACTAAAAAAGGAAAACTGTTTAATTCACAAAAGTGTCCGTATATGAGGTGTGGTGGAGGGGTCTACTAAGACTAAAACAAACTGTTCACAGGGTTGCATTGCTATCTTCTTCCTCACTGCTACTTAGCTTCATGCCTTAAGCAATCTACAGATACATTGCCCTGGTATCTCCTGATGAGTAGACAGAGCAATTGCTGAAGGGTCCATCTATAAGACCATTGTTGAGATTCTGAAAATGATATCAATCTAACGTTTGACTTTTATTAAAGGTTCACCAGGGAACTTCAATAAAAGTGAAACATATTAGATTGATAAACGTTTCCTATTTATTGTTTATCTATCATTGTCATATTCTGATCTATATTTGATCCCCTGAAATTTATATATCATTATCTCATATATATATATATATATATATATATATATATATATATAAAAGTGAACATAGAAGTCAACACTTAGAGGTGACAGTCTGTTTCATGCTATATGCAATCGTCAGGCAACATGTTGCATATAGCATGAAACAGAAGTCAACACATAGAGGCGACAGTCTGTTCACTTTTATATTTACACATGCTCTATCTCTGATATTGAGCACTTTATTCCATAAATATAGCACACCTTAAGACTATATTTCTTTATATAACGTCATCCACAGACACTGTTTCGCTGTTTACAGCTCATCAGTGTGGCTAGACATCCAGTTGCCTCTAGCTAGGATCGAAACCTGACTGAATTGGTGTCAGTCGGAGCTTCTAACCACTAAGCCGTCGGCGCACGGTACGGTTTAAGAGTTTGAAGCCATCCCTAGAATTAGCATGGGATGAACTTGACAGATGAGTTTTTTTTTTTTTTTTTTTTTAAAAAAGAAAAAAAAAAAAGAAGCTCTTAGTCATTGGAAAAAAGAATGGAATCAATTATCGAATGTATACTTTGAGAAACTTTTGCAACGAATGCCAAAAATTTGTGCTGTGCTAATGAAGCCTAAATGAGAGAATATTTTGATGAAAGCAAAATTTAATCAGAAAATATTTTTTTTTTTTTTTTACCTCTTTTTTTTTTGTCAGTAACATTTCTGAAAAAAATATTCTCACTTTTTTAACCATGGGGTGGCTTCAAACTTTTTAAACTGTTTATATATATATATATATATATATATATATATATATATATATATATATATATATATATATATATATATATATATAGAAGAAAGAAAGAACATTAAATTAAGATATATAATCCGTGTTCTTATAGATATTTTTTTTACAAAATAGTGCTCAATGTAAATTTACAGAGCATTAATATTATAAATTAATTGATTTAAAATGTTTTTTTAAGCTACACAATTCTAACCATGTTTCAAAAATAGAAGCTGAAAGCTCCGAATTTAATTTTGGAATTAAATTAAAGACATTAGTTCCATTTCATCCTCCAAGCAAATTAATGAAATGGAACTAATGTCTTTAATTTAATTACAAAATTAAATTTGGAGCTTTCAGCTTCCATTTTTGAAACATGGTTAGAATTGTGTAGCGAAAGAAAAAAAAACCCCAAAAACATATTTTAAATCAACTTGTGTGTGTGTGTATATATATATATATATATATATATATATATATATATATATTTTTTTTTTTTTTTTAATATATCAAGAAGAATTTTAAGGGAAAGAAGTAAAAGGCAAAATGATCACACAATTATGTTCATATTTGAATTGGTGCTACTACATATGTGAATGAACGAGAGACTCGGAGAATTTAAAATTAAAAAAATTTTTTTTTTTTCTTTTAAAATTTTAATGTGCCTTGGATATATAATCTAGCAGATTTCATTTAGATTCTTTTTGTTTATGTTTAGATGTTTAGTGTGCATTTAGTTGTGACCCGTTAGGTCAAACTTGTGTTGCTGTTTTCATTTAGTTTCATGAAGTGTTTAGGAAAGTAGATATTTTAAAAATACATTTATTTGCAGTTATTGAAGTTGCTTTAAACATCAAAAAAATTTGCTGTTTGAAGACAGTTAAAATAAAAATACTTACTGTATAAACATATTTTTTAAATCATATATATATATATATATATATATATATATATATATATATATATTACCCACTAAAACATTGAAGTTGAAATAAAAATATTTAAAATAGTTTGTTTTTAAAGAAAGCTGAAATATAAATAAGCATACATGCAATCACAGGAATGCGAAAGAGAGAGCAGTTTTTTTTTTTTTTTTTCTCCATTTCCTTCTCTTCCCCCCCCACTTCCTACATGATAATAAATTCATATTTCTTTCACCACTCTATATATGACTTCTGGCAAACACACAAGCAACGGTCACACACTTTTATGGTAATAAAGATATATATATATATGGTGGAATCTCCCATTGTATTCGTTCAATCAGTCATTCAACTCTGAACCGACTGTTTGGTTAAACTCTCTTCCTACGGTAGGGAGGAACCTAAAGGAGGCTCCTTGAAGGGCGGAGTCTCCTTCGGAGGTAAAACAGCCCTGAACGTTTATCTTGGGTTCAAATGGGCTATTTTTTTGGCCGAGCCTAATGGCTAGGGAATGCCCATGTTAAAAAGGCCTTGGGGGGGTGACTGAATATCATCTCCCATTGTATTCGGTGTATGAGGGTCAAGCAGGTCAGTTCCTAGGATCCAACAGCTCAGACACCAGCACATATGATTTGATTATAGTGGTGAAGGCTTTGTACAGAACAAACCACACTTTTTGAAGGACTGAATACGGAGAACTGGTGCACTACATGCAAAAAGGTCCCCCCCAAACAGCCCTCTGCAGGTTTTGAATTCAGAGTTGTCTTTCTCCTAACGCAGTTGCCATCCATAAAACCCAGCCTGTCCTGCTATTTACCCATAGCTGGAGGGAAAAGAGGATTAATACCCTTTCTCGAAGGTATTTAGGATGTAATGGATTTTACTAGAGTTTGAACTTTACTCTCTGCTTCCTCAATCTGAGCCACTATTCACTACTCATATTGAACTTGACCCAAAGACTTGTGAGTTCAATACCTGGCTACAGTAGAAGGGAACAAAAATAAAAATAAAAAATTTGGAGAGTTTAGTTACTAAAGGGAATTAACTTAACAGGGGAAATACAAATGGGGGAGTAGATTTTTTTTTTTTTTTAAGCTCTCCTGTTAAAGTATGAATCCTCCTCTTCTCCCTCCAGATATGGGTTATTTAGTACAACTTACATCATTAAAATTATTATCATCTCTAAAAAAAAAAAAAAAAAAAAAAAAAAATTCTGACAATCTGTAATTTTTCTCTGGTTTTAGATAAGCTGTAAAAAAAAAAAAATGAATCCATTAATAGCACAATCATTGAATAATTCTTAAATTTGTAGCGACACTTTGAGTTGATGTCAGGATCAGAAGTCTTAATTGATTTAAAAAAAGAAAAAGTACTTATATTAGATACAGACCAAAAACTGTATTTGGTGTACCCCACCCTTCCTTTTTTTTTTTTTTTTTTTTTTTTTAGAGATATGAATGACACTGTTATCTATTTTCAGATTCTTCATCAACCTGAAATCTGGAGAGGAAATTCCATTGCATTTTAATCCCAGACGTGCAGAAGGTGAGGTTGTCATGAACAATTACTCAAGCAGTGATGAATGGGGAGAAGAATTGAGAGAACCGCTTCCTGAATCTTTTACCGATTTTGTTCCTTTTGAAGTCAAAATCAAAGTCCGAAAAGATAAATTTAAGGTAAAGAAATTAATTTAAATAATTGAAACGTTTCTACATGAAAATCTGTAAAATGAATGTATGAACTGTGAAGATGCGGCTTCTGTTTGGTGGAACTGGAAGCAAATTTCTCACTGATAGCTTGATGAAAACTTTTTGAAGAGTTGGGATTTGAGTTGATTTTTTTTTTTTTTTTTAATGATGGCTAAGAAAGTTGGAAGTACTTAAACTAAAACGGAACACAACCTGAAGTTTGGACAATTTATCCATTGTCTTGGTTCCAATGTATATTTTACTTGGAAATTGAATATTTTTTTTATTGTATTTTTCCCAAGACAGATGACATCAGTTGGACTTAATGAAACTTTTTTCTATGAATTCTTGTTATCTAAATATCTTGTATCCATCTTACAGTCATAGACCTCTTAATTTCTTGGGACAGTGACATTTTTAAAATGTTTTGCTTTTCAACACACAGGAATTGTATTTAATCATTATCCGGACCACTGCCAAAGTAACTGGACATTCTTTTTTTATCTAGAGTGTCTGATGCTATATATATATATATATATATATATATATATATATATATATATATATATATATATATATATATATATAAATATATATATATATATATATATATATATATATATATATATATATATATATATATATATATATATATATATATATATATATATTTATATTAAATATATATATATATATATATTGCATATTTTTAAACAAAAATATTATAATAAAGCTCTACTTGTTTGTATGGAGCACTGTCTTTTTTAAAAATAAAAAAAAAATACAAGGAACTCGGATTATGCACCCAACGTGTTTTTTTCTATTTTCTGTATACCTGCGCACTTATACTTATATACGTATAGGATTGGTGTATACAGAATAAATTCCAATAAGCAAAAATACTATTCTTAATACAGAGTAGATCAAATGTAATTTATTTGAAAATTATAACATAAACATGTTATAAAATCACTACAAAAATAGCCATTTTGTTTCAACACTTCTGGTTTCTTATCAAATGATGGTGTTGAATGTAGAATAGTTTCAAAAGGTTCAAATCAACCAAACACCCCTCAATAGGGAAAACACTGTTACATAAGCTGCAATGACCAATCAAAATACAAGTATTTGAGAATTCAAAAATATGATAATGAACCTTGGTTATAATAATTAATGCCTTAATGTTAGGGTTAAACTAAAATAGACGAACTGAATAATATTTAATTTTACTATAAAATTAAAAATTACCAATTTGAAATTTAATTTATATTAAGTTTAAAATATTAAGCCTGTAAATAGTCTGCAGAGAGATAGGCTGTAGAGTGTCTGAGACTGAAAACATTTAGAGGCCATAAAACTTTAGTAGGCACAAAGACTAAATAGCTGGAAACTAGTAAAACCATATTGTGCTGTGACTTGTACATTACTAAGAAGTTTCCTACTTATAGTATGTAGTACTACTAAATGCTATTACTCTTGAAACTCTTTTAAATGTTTTCTTTTTCCATTTAAGATATACATCAATGAGAGATCTTATGCAAAGTTTTATGTGCGACAAGAGATTGATCATGTCTATGGTATCAACGTTGGTGGTGATGCTGACTTTTATCAAGTCAAATTGCTCAGACGTATGGTAAGTGTTTTCAAATGGTTCCTTCTAGGTTAAAATTTGATCTTAATCGCTGAATTTTTATATGTATGCGTAACGAGTGCTAGCCATGAGTTTGGGGAATCTAAACACCTAAGAAAAATTTCCTGAAACTTAGAATTTTATTTGTCTTCTTTTGAAGTGCTTTCACAAATAAGATTGTCAAAAATCTGTCATATTTGGTCTTGCGTACTGTTGAAATTTGTCAAGTTTTTGGTTACAGTTTGTGACTTATAAATAAATAATATTCAATTTGTTTATGAACGAAGATGATACTTGTAAGTATTTTTATATTGTGTTCGTACATGATTTTGTAAAATCTTGAACTTGCTTTCTGGTTGTATCAGGCAGTTATATTTTCTATGTTTTTAATCAATTCATATGAGACTTACAGCTGCATCATGGTGAAACACCAGTTTCATCACCAAAGTTAAGCAATATCAAACCTGATCAATATCTATATGAGTGACCATTTGGGAATACCAGGTGCTGTAAGTTTGGGTGTGTGGGAGGGGTAATGGATAATGGCTCAGAATTGTTAGTCAGAAAGCAAAGTTTCAGTTCTTGTTTGGTTCATTATATTTAGTCATGCACAAATGTCACTGAGAAAAGTATGAATCCTCTTTTCCCCTCAGCTATGGGTTAATTAGTAAAACTTGTATTACTGAAGCATTATGTACCAAAAAAAGTTGTTACAACCTAAATTTTCTGGCTTTAAATAACCGTCAAAAGGGGTGATAAACCATAGAAAAAGAATTAGTCAATCAAGCAATCAATTCATATGAACAAACTGTCTTGTTATTTGTGCAATATCATCTAAAATGTTCATAATTTCTGAATAAGGTGATTTTTGTGGATTTAGTTAGAGGTATTTCTTTATAAATTTGAATTTAAGGAAATAAGTCAATAATTGTTATAGTTTCAAAGTGCTTCCTAATAATACTTTATTTGCTAATTAACTAATTACTGGATATATTTTTTTAATCATTTCACTCCAAAGGCAATAAAGCCACTAAAATGCGAGTATAACCCCATTTACTTGCTGTCTACATCCAGTGGTGTAACCACATTTAGTAGTCCAGTCTCCAGGGTCTTAGGATGACATTTTAACACTGGGCTAACTCTGCGCTGGTCAATGCTGAGTGTTGGTTGTTTTGAGCCACACCAACTCTGTCCATGTTGTATTCTTGGTCTCAGAGCAGTGGAAGATCAAATGTTGTAATTGAGCCACTGTGAGTGCTACATTATGAGAAGATATCTTCACAATGAAAAATTAAAGATGAAAGATTCATTGGGTTAATCTTCATTTGGTTTATATAGTTCTTGATACAACAAAAATTAACCCTTTCTGTATCACAGTATGCCTCACCTAATATTTGGGGTTCAAAGTTATTCAAAATCAGGAAATCTAGTAGCAGCTGATATGTATTCCAGTGGCACTTGATGCGGGGTTCGCAGCCCAAATCTTTGAGCACTCAAAGCTATGACAGATGTGGGGGCCCTCTTCCAAATATTCATTCACAAGACGAAGCCATAATGTATATTAGGCAAGTGGACTAATCATGATTTTGGCAATTAACAGCAAAAGCAAAAATCAGTAAAAACTGATAAAAATGTCAACAACTTTGTAAAATTTTTTTTTTTTTTTTTTTTTTTTTTCAGGAACCACCTTACATTGAAGAACTTCCAAGTGCAATGGATTATGGCCGTTGGCTTCACATCACTGGAGCTGTCATCAAACATCAGGAAAGGTGGGTTTACTCAAAGTGTGAAATATGCAATCTCTAATTGCCCAATGCCTTTTTTTTTTTTTTTTTTTTATAATTCTCATTATTTTCTATAAATGTTTAGATTGGGTATTGGATGTTTTATTTCTCTTGCTTTCTTTTTTTTGTTTTTTTTTTTCCATTGCTTTTCTTTTTTTTCTTTTTCTGTAGCTTTTATTTTTTATTACTTTTCCATTGTTATTTTGTCCTTTTCTGTTATCTTTATGATATTTTTCCTTTACTGTTGTCTTTATTTTTCTTTTCTCTCTCTCTCTTTTTTTTTCTCTCTCTCTTTTTTTTCTCTCTCTCTTTTTTTTCTCTCTTTTTTTCTCTCTTTTTTTCTCTCTCTTTTTTTTTTCTCTCTCTTCTTTTTCTCTCTCTTTTTTTCTCTCTCTCTTTTTTTCTCTCTCTTTTCTCTCTCTTTTTCTCTCTTTTTTTTTTCTCTCTCTTTTTTTTTCTCTTTTTTTTTCTCTCTTTTTTTTCTCTCTTTTTTCTCTCTCTTTCTCTCTCTTTCTCTCTCTTTTCTCTCTTTCTCTCTCTCTCTCTCTTTTCTTTCTTCTCTCTTTCTTTTCTTTCTCTTTCTTTCTCTTTCTTTTCTCTTTCTCTTTCTTTTTTTTTCTCTCTTTTTTTTTTTTTCTCTTATGGCTAAGTCTATTAACTCTAATATCATGTTTTTTTTTTTAATTGACATGTATAGACAAGAATATTAAATAGAAAGTACATTACTCCACTGACTAAATAACATTGATAGAAAGCAGCAGTGTATGGAGGATAAAATGAAAACACTGTGCAGATTTCAAAAAGGGGATGTTACTGTTGCTGTTGAATAACTAAAGTAGCTAAAATGTAAATTTTGTACTAGATATGTTATTAAATCTTAATGCTTTTCTGAATTTAAGAAAATGGCCTCCACTTTCATGGAAAGAAACCTTGATCAGTCTTTAAAAAATTGTCTCATTTGATACAAGAAATTTTGGGGTAAGATAGTTTATGGACATTGTTATATTTTGTGGGATTCAAAGAACTTGTTAAAATCTTGAAACCACTGTACAATCCTACAGCAAACAATTTACTCATTTGAATGACATGTTGGAATAGAAAAAGGCACTAAGATGTTAATTAGTTTAGAGGACAAATGCTAGTAATCATTGTCTTGAAAACTTCTTTATAGAGAGACAGCAGGTAGTGTCGGTTTTATAATGATGCATACATATGTCTACAGCTGTGAATGTGTTAATGATACACTAGCTAACATTGTACAAATGCTTGACGTGGTTGGTTTGCAGTTAGAAGTTTTTAGTGTTTGATTTCTGTAAGTGTTTAATTCTTTCTTGCAGATTCCATGTTGAACTGAAAAGTGGTGACAATGTTGCCCTTCACTTCAACCCTCGTATCCCCGATCAGGTTGTTGTCCGCAATTCCTTCTTGGATGGGGAATGGGGTGAAGAAGATAGAGAGAATACCTACTTTCCCTTTGAAGAATCTGAACCATTTGAGATTTTCATCTCAAGTCAACCTGATGCCTATAAAGTAAGAGAAAATAATGGCTTTCTTTACTTTCTTACAGTTTTTGTCTTGTAATTGGTTAAGCACCACTGCTAAGGGGGCAAATTGATTCTGAAATTGAACAGTTTGAATTTCTTTGATTTTCTTTAATGGTTGCCTTTATTATTATTATTATTATTATTATTAATATTATTGTTATTATTTTATTTATTTATTTTTCCTTTAATAATTTCATCCCAAGAAAGGCGATAAGGCCACCAAGATGCAAGTGGTTAGTGAAAGAGAATGAGAAAACTTTGGCAGTGGAAACCTAATCCTAAACAGGAACAAGGGATAAACCTCTACTCCTGTTCAAAAGAATGGGTGGGGGTGAACCAGATGATAGGCAAAGGGAGGAGTGTGAACTGCTTTTTATGTTACAAAACCAAGACATTAACCTTGTGTCATATAGGAATAAAGTGTTACTGCCGACACTTGGGTTTGAACACAGATCACCAGAGAGCAAGCACAGTTGACCTCCTCTTAAAATAATTAGATCTTGTGATGGGTAAAGGAAATATATATATATATATATATATGGGAATTAGAGTGGCGTCTGACTGAGTATTGTTCGAAGGCATTACTATTGTTGTATCTGTAATTTACAAAGTCTCTGCTAGAAATGTGCATTACAAAACCTTGTCAGATCGAGAGACTGATAAATATATCCTGCATGACACTTGACCTATTCAGAAATGTCTAAACTGTCAACAGTATACAACTACTTTCTCAGGTCAGTGATAAAAAAGGGCTTTGAGCAAATGAAGCCCATAGGTCTTAGCAAGGACCATCCATCAAATCTTGTGGACTAATGCTACAAAATCAGTGTTGTTGGATAAACAATTCACTGTCTACAGTTGGGGTATTGTCCAGCAGCCATGTTGTCTGATACACCTTTTTCTGTAAAGAGTCCATGATTCATTAGGGGAGAGTTGTCTCCCCTGACATGAAGAACTGTACCAAATAGCAGGAGTCTTATCGCCGTGTCATGTTGAAACGTGGTTTCCCGTATGATCACCAAAGTTAATCAATGTCGATCCTGGTCAGTATCTAGATGGGTGACTGCTTGGGAGGACTAGCTGCTGTCAGTTTGGTGCACATGATCTAATGGATAATGGCTCCAATTTGTTAATTGGACAGCGGTGTTCCAATTCCCAGAGAGCTTACTGTAGTCACTTATGCACAAATACACTTAAGGCATGAATCCATCATTTCTGTCCACATCTATTGATGGGGTTTCCACTATTTGATTGATTTGTTTTCTGCAGCATATCAAACCATTTGCAGGTTATTTAAAGCCAGAAAATATTTTTAGATTGTAAAAAATATCGTTTTTGAGATAATGTTTTAGCGATAAGTCTTAAAATATAATATAAATATTTTCTGGCTTTAAATAACCTGCAAATGGTTTGATATGCTGCAGAAAACAAATCAATCAAATAGTGGAAACCACATCAATTAGATGTTGATGTTCCACACTACTTCAGGCAAAAGGTTAGGAAGGAAACCCCTATTGATGCTGGAAAGAGCAATAACAGTTACTGGACTTGAAAAACCTATTTTTCTGAATTGTTTAAAGAAAAAGAATTTGTAAATTCCAACCAATTGTAGAACTTGCTGCTCAATCAATGAATGCCAAATGTTTCTTTATAGGGAAATGGCTAATATTACCTGTACCATATACTGAAACTGGATATTCTTATATTTATTTTAACTTGTGCTATTACTGCAGTATTCAAAAATTGGTAACCTTGAAGCCCATATTATCTCCAGATTTTCAGTCCTTTGTTTTGCATGCTCACCCTAATTTGCCTGTCTTATTTAAGTATTGATCAACATCTGCTTTCTCTCATAACCATTTTTTTTTCTTTTCAGATCTATATCAATGGAGTATTCTTTGCTGATTATCCGCACAGAATGCCTTGTCAGAGTGTATCACATTTACTTGTTGCTGACGGTGCGCATTTCTTTGAACCTGAAATCTTGTAAAGCTGAACAATTTTTCAAGAACCACTTTTATTCCTTTGAACAGGTGAGAATGAAGTTTGGTGTTTAATTATGCTGTTTTATGGTTGGCGCCTAATTATGGTGTTTTACGGTTGGCGCTTAATTATGGTTGGTGCTGTTGTGGAGTTGATTTCACAGTGGAGGCTTGTATTTGTACTAAGTCAGTCCTAAAATAGGCTCAACATACAAAACGTTAGGAACTTTATATAGTAGGTATGACGCAGAGAAATCTAGTTGTGGTCGCTGATACTTTAGTATCCGACTAACGGTCGTCCGACATCGACTGACTGACCGACCCACTGAACCCCCTCTTGTTACTCTTACTACTCCTACTTATTATAGGTTGGAGAGTCTATTAACTATAGAATAGGTGTGTTCCACTATAACAGGTGTTTAACACATTTACTTTTCTGTAGATAAGTTTGAAAATATACTTTTTATAATGGAATTAGATTATTACAAAAAATATAAGATTAAAATTTGAATATTATGCAAAGTATGTATGCCAAATTTTTCCAGTAGTCTTTTTTTTTTTTTTTTTTTTTTTCCTCTCTTTTCATGCATGTGTTGGTAGGATTAGTAAATTTTTATAACTAAAAGTGAATTTTGATCTGAAATTTGCATCATATTAGATTTTGGATCAATAGAAATCTGTTGGCTTAATTGTATCGGCAAAGGAGAATATTGACAATTTCTTCATGTGAAAGGGGAATCTTTTCAGAAACACTCATAAATATTGGGGATAATATTTATCTTCTTAAATGAAGAATAAAGATATATATTTTCATTTTCTTTAATTAAAAATGTATATATCAGTTTTTTTATTTAAAAGTAATATTTTTGTAAAACAAAAATGTTTTTATATGAGAACCAGTTAAGTCCAGTTGATTCTCTAAAAAAAAGTCGGGGATCGATTTTACATTGTTTTGATATTATGAACAGGACCCCCACCTTTTAAAATCAATAAAAAAAAAAAAAATCAATATTTTTTGATTCTGACAAATTTTGTGCTTTGAAGAATGCTAATTTATATAAAATATTTCCTATTTAAGTAGTACCTAAATGTTTTCATTATCAACAAGTATTCCCTGTACTCGGAGAGGGGAAAAAATTCCCACACATACTGGAAATATCTTGGTCCATCTCACTTCCTAATCAAACATCACGCAAGTTTTGAACTATCTCGTCTTGACAAAGAACTTTTAACATGCCAATTTGCATTTGTATATGATAATTAGCCCTCTTCAGTAGGGTTTGAAATTCCATCTATTGATGTAACCTGAATTCTTGCCATAAATATCATTGCATAGAAGTTTACACACTGTTTTTTTTTTATTGTTCCAGGCAAATTATAATGGCAATATGGAATCTCCATCCACCAGTGATACATTGATGACTACTAATGCACTTCTGCTTTCTTGTTTTTTTTTTTTTTTTGTTGGTCGGAAGAACGGAAGAATGTTTTAATATTTGATTATTTTTTTAATATTTTTTCTTAAAAAAAAAAATTAATATGAAATATTGAAGGCCTTAAAAACCAAAATGAGAAGTTGAATTTTCTTGTAAAATTATGAAATGTTTCTACAGAAGAAAAGCAGAATGTCTTCCAGAAAAGTCCACGAGCTAAAAATGCTGTTTCTTACTGAAGATTTTGTTATCTTTGCATCTAATAAATTCTTTTATTTTAAATTTGCTTTTATTTCTTGAAGTGAATAAAGAAATAAAAATCTTGAAATAGTTTTGTTTTTGTTTTTGATGAGTTGCAGTAATTGTAACAGCAGTAAAATGAAAAATTAAAATTAATATTGAAAAAAATTGAAATATTGAAAAAGAATAAGCAAAATTATTGAAAAATAAAAAAAAAAATATTGAAAAAAGGAAAAACCAAAAATATTGAAAAAATGAAAAAGAATGGAAATAATGAAAAAAAAAAAATTGCCACGAAAAAAAAAAGAATTACTTTAATCATTTTACTGTTGAAATAACTAAATTTAATTTAAGTTGTGTTCTAATAATTTCCTCTCGCACTTCTCACCTGTGAAACTCTCCTCAGGTTTCTTGCTTTCCTGTTAACTAAAATCTTCAAAACTTTAAATGCAACATCAACTGCCATCTGCTGTTTTTGTGAATCTAATTCTTTTTATCGTCCTTTCTTCTCAGCAATGTTTTCTCAGTTTCCTTCCATTTCAGTAAATCCTTGCATCTTAGTGTCTTTATTGCATTGCTTGAGGTGAAATGATTTAATAAAGAAAATGTTGTGATGTAGAGGTTAACACTAATCAGCTGCTAAGCTCGTTTTGATATTTACTTCCCCCCCCCCATTGAGTCAGGTTGTGACACAAGGTCAGTTTTTAACATGGGGGACCCGAATGTTTTCACTCGGGCCACTGGTCCAAACTGATCTTTGCTAGTTGTAGCTTGTCAGAGTTGTTCTAAGTTGGTCATAGCTGGTCAGAGCTGGTCTAAGCTAGTCATAACTGGTCTTGGCTTGTCCTTGCTGGTCCAGGCCAGAGCTGGTCCAAGCTAGTCCTAGCCATAATACCCCCTGCCAGGGACGAGCCCTGTGCCAGGTAGGTATTCTGAGCCGCTAAGCTCGTTTTACTGCTTCGTTATTCTCGGTGACCACTTATATGAGTGTTCACTTGTGCTTATGCAAATTATGCATACTAATTTGCTAGTATCACTACAGAAAAACTGTTTGGAATAATTAATATTGAATTAACTTGCTATATTTGATGCTATATATAATACACTCCTCAAATCCTGATAAAAAATAAAATCACCATGTGTCTTGTTTGCAAAGTTGAGGTTTCCTCTCAGCTGATTTTTACTCTAACACAATTGTAGGCTATGATTTTTATCTTGGATGGTCACTTGTACTAGACCGAGTATATAATTTATTCGGTTATTGGTAATGCAGTATGTAAAAGCAACAAATTACTAGTGGTATTTGTTAACAGTGACTCAATCACACCTGAAATACCTACACCCTCTTGGATACTTTATCAGCTGGTAACTACATAAGAGACAGGGAAATGGTAAAACACTACTACATAACATTGAAGCCACCAGGAAATACATAGGGCAAACAAAGTAGTCAAATTAGGATGAAGGAATTTTTTACTATCGTGATTTCTTGTACTACTAATTTCCTTTTTTTTTTTTTTTTTTTTTTTTTTTTTTTAAATGGTTATGTTTTCAATTATACCAAAAGTTATTCTGCAGTGCTTCATAATGTGCTGACAGCATGCTTAAACACACTAAAAAAAAAAAAACAAAACAAACAAACATTGCCCAGTTCACACTCCTTGTTTTTTTTGAACAGGAGTAGAGATTGGGTTTCTGGCTCCTAAAGTCGTCTCATTTTCTTTCACTCAGAGTAAGTCATTATCACCTTGATTGGTTTAATTGATTTAAAAAAAGTATTGGAAATATATTGAACTTCTGAAAAATACTTAAATATCTGAGAGCCAGGTTCAGACAAATCACCAAAGTGTGAAAATCCTTGCCTGAAGAAAAATAAACAGATATATTGTAAGATAACTGAAAATTAATGAGTGTATCAGAATGAAACTGGTTTGATAGCATCAGTGAATCGTTGCATTTATATCATTTTATCATATTGTTATATCTTGATTTGGAGATTGGCATCAGTCATCACAAACAAATAATAACTAAAAAACAAAAACAAACTGTTTCATTTATCAAAATACACGTCGTGAGCTTATGGTGCAGCCACACACAATCTTAAGTGCTTTTATATTCAACATTGAATTGTTGGATATAATTAACAAATTATAATTAGGGGAAAGAAGGTGAAGGATTTCTTTTTCAGGATATCAATTTTTCAGTGAGATTTTTTTTGCATCTGCTTTGTAACGTCATTCCAGACAGTAACCAACGTGGCTGTCAGGTGACCAACATGATTTATCTCCACCAAAGGGAGATAAGCACCTTTTTGTATCCTTACATTTACTTTGATTTTAGGTAAAAATAGAAACAGGCCAACTTTAGATTATTGGTCCAAAGGGAGTTGTTGAAAAATAAGTGCCAACACAAACGACCCGATTCGGCCAACGACAACTGTCACCAAACACTTTTTTGAGTCCTTGAGACAACCACCAGGTACATGGAGAAGTTGGATGTCACATACCCAACCATATCGTGACATCACTTAGATATTGCATTAAAGTTTCAAACATTGTATACATGACTAAGCTTAAATTTGTCTTGTATAAGTTAGTGTGACTGAAAGTTATGTAGAAAGGAAGCTATAAAAAACTAGTCTGAATTGTAAATTGATATTTTAAATGCCGTTTTTTGTTTCTCCCTAAGCATTGACCAAGTAGTCATCATAATCAATTTGGGAAACGGTTTGTTCTTGTCCTGAAAATGAATTTGTAAATGCAAATCTAAAACCTGTTAATATTCAACAAGGGACGTAACTCTTATTGTACAATGTAAGGGAGATAATTTCATTCTTTTGACGTTGCGGTGTTTTCAAATTTTTCTTCCCTGTGGCCCATTTTTGTTGTCAAAAACATTTTAGGCCCACACACGCACAGCTAGAAATTCCATATAACAGGAAATAGATTTTATATATATAAAAAAAAAGCAAAACAAAATTTAATAGAAAATATAAGTCCTGACTCATTAGTCACGACTTATATTTTCTATTAAAATTTTGTTTTTGTAAATAAAATCTACACTGTGGATTAACGGTGTTGATGTAACGTAGATAAAGTAATACTTTCAAAAACTAAGATAACATTTTTGTAAATGAATCCTGTCATACTGTAATTCAACAACTCAGATGCATAAAAAATACTGAACTCAAATAAATGAGCACGAAATCTTTCTAATGACGCACAATAAAGCAAAAATGTTTCAAATCAATTTGAAAATATTATTTAAGAAAACACCGACAATTTTATTTAAACAATTTCTGAATTATTTGCCTTTAAAAATAAAGTAGTTTATGCTTTTTATAATTTTACGTCTGTGGAAAAAAATTCAAAGTTCACCTATTTTCCTTGGGTCAACTCCAGGCCCATTTAATTTTTCTAAAAAAATTCTTTTTAAAGATAAGGACCCACGTTGTAATTCACTGCTTTGTTTAGAAGGATATGAAAAATTGTTTTATGCGGCAGAGGGCCAGTCTACCAGTTCACGTTGAAAATCAGCATTGGTTATTCTGGATTTTATGTCACCTGTTGGGAAATACAAATATCTCAGGTCGGTTCATGTAGGCATTTTGCAAGTTTATTGTAGTTTGGTGCATTAATACAGACATGAAATGCGCTGTGAGGATCGAACTCTTAAGTAGGAATAATTCTTGGAAAATGGCAGAGTAGCCACCAAACCAATTCGGCCGGAACTATAGATAATTCCGAAACTAATCTTATTCTGACAGAGATACAATACTTAAGCACATACAAGCTCACTAATCAATCGAAATATTTAACGAAACGAGCTTGCCAATTATTATACTATATTGTAGTGAGTCCCGATCAAAATAAAATTTAAAAATAAACAAAAATAAAATAAATTCAAATTAAAATAAGGCATTTACGCTTTCCTTTGAAACCCTTATCTTTTCTTTCTCACACGCTCTCTCTAAACTTCTCTTTTTATACTACTCTCAACTAACGAGATGGCAACCCTCAAATAAAAAGAAGAAGAAGAAGAAAAGCGTGTACCCGTTCTAAAAAAACCCCGAAGTTTGCGGGACACGACCCTATAAATTTTGGACTGAAAACTATGAAAACTCAGCGAGGCTCCACGCATAACTTTCGTTATAACAAGAATGGGGGAAAAAAAACGGCGGAAAAAATTGGCCAATCAAAAAAAAAAAAAAAAAAAAAAATTAACATAAGAGACTTTTGATGCTAGCTGAAACCAAGGTTCGCATCAGAATCTCGAAGTCTAGTCAAAAGGATATAAGTTCACACCTCCGAGAAGGGACGGCGAGAGTGACGAACAGAGAGAAACCAGCCATGCGTGACGCTTGAAAAAGTAGTTAAGAAGTAATCTGATCATGATACTTCTGCCCTGTTTAGGACCGAGAAATAAACAGTAGATTGGCACTGACCTATTTCTAATATTACTACTACCCCTAGCACGGTCTGACTTCAAAACTACCACTACTGGACTTTCTCCAAGCTATCATCAATATTCGCCTCATAAACGAACATTCTTGTGACACCGAATATCAAAGGACTCACTCTAATGCAAATAAATAAAAAATATATATTATATTTGCATATACCCTTTCACCACAGTTTGTTTTATGTCTTGTGTTTCCAATAAAATAAAAACACCAAAAAGAACCATCCTGGCACAATTAATCACAGTATCATGAAGGTTAAAAGTATTTAGGAATCTGAGATTTGGAATCGGACAATTCATATCCAAATTTTC